TTATGCATTTTCCTTTTAAAATCACGTCTTGCTGTACCTAATTTTCATTTGACTTGCAAGTGTCGTGCAAAGAGTTTCGTTAATTTTTTTCATTGGCGGGATTAGTGTAAGGCACTTCACTAATCCCGCCAATGTTCGTACTTAATGAAATAAACAAGAATTAGCATTACCATTCGTTATTCAACCATTAATACAATAAATGGGACGCGCAGTCCTCCATCTTGATTTGATGTAAGAATGACCACACGACCACGTGTCTGCAGCTCGAGTATGTGGCAACGCCGCTCTACCCCGCCCCCAGCTGTCAAGTAGACAGCAAAATTATTCGGACAATAGTGTCGGTCCCCGTTGAACGTTGTCTTACACCTGCGCAGAGCTCGTCCGAGGAGGGGGAGGCCGAAAAATCTGCGGAGGCGGAGGGGGAGGTGGATACGCCCGACCGCGTGCACAGGCCCTCGACCCTGCCTCGCTCGCGGCCGGTGCCTCCGCCTCCCAGCGCTGGGCCCCCGCCGCCTCCCGCACCACGCCCCGCACCCACGCCCCGGTGAGCGCATGTCTCTGCTCGACACCCCCCCGCCCCGCCTCGTCTGCACCGGCTCAACGGACTCTGTCAACGCCACCGTCACTCCTGCTCCTCTCCCCTCGCCCCGCATCGTCTCACCCCTGCCAGCCCCACCTCGCCTCCTCCCTTAATTCTCAACTCCTTGCACCCCTCGTGCGGCCCCCCCCCGCCCCGCCACGCGACATATAACCCACCCACCACCCTACTACTGGCTCCCGCCCCGCCCCGCCCCGCCCCCCAACTCCTGTCCTGGGGAACCCCATTTGCTAAATTTATCTGGTTGAATGGATTGATAGAAAATATCTTTCACCTTTGTGTCTCAAGAGGGTTTACTCAGCAGCGATTAGTTATTTATGAAACGCAATTCTTCGTTTACTAATTTTTACTCCAATGTGTTTAGTAAATGTGACGACCTATTTAGTGAACATTACTATACGTGCATTAGTGTTTTCGTGAAGGTGACTGTGCACTTTTTTGCTTATTTTAAAACCGTTTTCAACTATTAAGGTTATTTAGTGACCACTACAATTAACATTGGATTTGAAATTTTGAGGTGACTGTAGCAGAAGTCGCGTACTGACTAGCACAAACATCCGTTTCCTCGACGGCATTCGAACCCGCGACCCTTCAGGCACAAGACAGCTTCAGCCCTTCGGGTTTAGCAACCTCGGCTATTAAACCATATAGTTCAATCTACAAGGTGGACATTTTATCGTCCTTCGAAGATTCGAGCCGCGTCGCGTGCGAAGCATTGACCCAACTCCCGTGCTGATAGAGAGAACTTTCGCTTCGCTTAACTTTCTTTAAAGAATATGCTGAAAGTGGTGCTCTTCGGCTTGACTGCATTCTTGGCACCTCCGGAACATATTCTGATTCTTTCTTCTGATGATGTGTGCTTTCATCTGAGTGGATACGTCATTAGCCAAAGCAACCGCTATAGGAGTGGAGAAAACCCTCATCGATGCTGCCCGAATCTTCGACGGACGATAAAATATACACCCTGGTATTACGTGATTAACTGAGTGGATCAGGGTCAGAGTTACCTCTACCACTAGATTGTGAAGGCACTTTTTCCTATACAGCATGGCTCTGAACTATCGGTTGTACAAGTGGGAAACTTTTAATTCTTGTTAATGAATGATTTTTGGGTTCAAAGTGTCTGGTTGAGCCATTCATTCAAGAATGCATTCATTCATTCATTCATTCAAAGGATAAAGACTTACGGCACTAATAAAGCATTATTAACTTCATATGAGTTACTGAGCTCATATGAGCATACATCAGGCCTTAGGTTCCCTTCCGACGTGGACATAACCGCTCGCTCCCGACAAGCGGCAAGGTTCTTCTCGAGGGTCCACCGCCGCAAACCACCGCCGCACAGCCGCCCGCCGTGGAAGGGGGAGGGTGCGGCGCGGGTAGGTTTCGCCTTGAGAGGCGACGAACAAAGAAATGTATCAGGTAAAGCGCTGTGGCGAGTGTCCCATTGGGAAGATCTCTACTTGAAGCAAAGCTTGATGGCGTGGAATCCCTTCCGGGCTGCTCGTGGCAAGCGTCCGAAAGACACCGCAGCCCGAATCCGCCGCACGTGGCATGAGCTCGGTTTAAATCTACGGGCCCCTTCCCACGCCGCGACGGCGGTGCGCTTCCGAGCAGCGCGGCGCGTAGCACAGCTTTAGTTTGAATGCAGACATTCCCACGTGCAGCGGACGTGCGCTGCTGCGCCAAGCGTCGCCGGACTCTCGCTACGCGAAGCGGAGGAGGACATAAGCGCCACGGCTAGCAATACACAGCTTTAAATGGGAGCCTTCCCACTGTGCCGCCGGTTGCTGCGTTTTACCTGCTGCGGTCCCTTTGTTCGTCGTCGCCGGAGGGTCGGCAAAACATACCCCTGCTGAATCCAACCCCTTCCACGGCGGGCGACGGTGCGGCCGTGGCTGCGGCGGTGGCTGCGTCGGAAGGGCTCTGCTGCTTGAAGGAAGCGCGGCGCCGTGGCGACGTGGGAAGGCGTCTTACGCTCTGCTACCAGCCGCGGTGTACGGTGGCTCGCTGCTATGTCAACGTGTGAAGGGACCCGAAGGGGCGGGACATCACGACTTCGTGAGTTGGGCAGGTCTGCTACTGAACTTCACAATTGCGCGAGCTCAACCTTCGTGTCTGCGCAGGAGAGCGAGTTCGTGTGTCCGACGCGGCCGGCGGGGGGCAAGACAGCCGCGCTGGTGGGGCTGGCGGGGCGCCACCACCCGTGGGCGGCGGTGGACGGCGTGGGCGGCGTGGGCATGGGGCTGGCCGCGGCCTCCGAGCTGGAGCTGTGGTCGCAGAACCTGGACGAGGCGGCGCCGCTGCCCGAGCACGAGTACCACGTGATCTGCCTGCCGGCGGCGGCGGCGGCGGTGGCGGCGGCCGCCGCCCACGACGCCGCCCTCGCGCCCTCCACCTCGGGCCAGGGGCGTCCCGCGCCCGCCCACGCCCACGCGGGGCGCGCGCAGCGGCGGGACGACGCCGACGGCAAGCCCGCGGACACCGAGGGGGTAGGCAGCCACGGCCGATGCACACGAGCGTTGCGTTGACGCGCGTCGTAGAATAACACTGGCCTTAGGCATGCGACATCAACTACATGTTAAAAAACGTCTATTTTTAAAAAAAAAACCATGTTAATAACAAAGGCATACAAAGAAGATTTCAGACCCAAAATTGACACATTTTTCTCTCTAAATTTCGACGCGCTGAATCCGAAACAGAAGTCAGAATTGCTTCCACCCCCACCCAACAATTTTTTTAATCACGTAATTTCTCATCTGCTCAAGAAGAACCACTTCACGATGTCAAGATGGGAGTGTGCTGTGAGTTGAGTAGTACAACTACAATCTACAGTTGCATGGTGTTTTTTGCAATTGAGGGTGGTGGAGCAATTCTGGCTTCGGATTTGGATTCAGGGCGTCCACATACGTAGAGAAACATGTGTCAAGTCTTGGGATCTCACAACGACCACAAAAAGCATTGCGTGACGCACGATAGGTAACCGCGTTGTAGATTAACACTGTATTTGACTCACGTACGCTTTGGCCGTTCCACTTAAGATACAAGGTTAATCTAAGACGCGCGTTTCTTAACGCGCGTCAACATAACGCCCGTGTGATACAGGCCCTACGGACGCAACATCGACAAAGACATGTTGCCAAACGTTGATGTTCTGCCAGAGGAGATAACTACACTTCGTGTCTTTTCATGTATTCGGTCTTTGCTAGAATTGGACTAACTGAGAAAATAAATATGATCCAAGGTTTCTACCTGTTCCTGGCAGATGCGGCATTACTCGTCTTGGGATATATTGACAACCGCTTTATCACAATGCCGTGTTCTCTATGCCTGATCTTGGGCAGCAACTGCTTCCAAATCTGGCCAAATCTGCTTCCAAATCTGGCTTTACGAATTCTTTCGTATTCTTCCCCTTTAAAGCCACATACATTTATTATTATTATTATTATTATTATTATTATTATTATTATTATTATTATTATTATTATTACTATTATTATTATTATTACTATTAGCGTATTGGCCATTTCTGACCCCCTTCATGTTCTCTTCCGAAGCCCAGTCACATTCTATCCCGGAGAGATTAACGTGTGTCATAAGAATCAGCTTTTCGGCTGAAAAGACAAGGTTCTTAGGCCTTGAATTATGAAGTGATGGAAGTTTATGAGAGGTGAGAGGTGATCGTGGCTTTTTGAACAATTCAACATTCGCCAGTATGCCCGAGGGAAACCAGAAATATACCGGTCAGGATGGCCGGCCCGGGAACGCACCCGGGCCTCCCGACTGTCAAGTCAGCGCGTTTCGCACTGAGCCACTTCGCTCGGTTTATTATTATTATTATTATTATTATTATTATTATTATTATTATTATTATTATTATTATTATTCATTACTGACCACGCTACACAATTAACGTGTGTAATATTCCCACGATCAGCATTTCAACTGTATCCCTCAGTACGACAAGGTTGTTAAGTCTTGAAGTGTGAGTTATGAGAAGATAAGATGAATGTGAGGGGTGAAGGAACAATCACAAATTTGACCATTTCTACACAGAACTCTAAGATACAGCCTTCTCGGCGCAGAGGACGGCTGCAGCATCCGTTTGTACCACGGGCATTTGATTATTATGATTATCATGACTATTATGATTATCATGATTATCATTATTATGATTATTATGATTATCATGATGATCATGATTATCATGATTAGTATGATTATCTTGATTATTATGATTGATGATTATCATAATTATCATCATTATCATGATTATTATTATTACTATTATTATGAATGTGGGCTACTGTGGGCGTGTCAGATGCCGCACTGGCCGGTGCAGTCGCCCCCGATGCCGCTGACGCCCGTGCCGGCGCCGCCGCCGCCGTCGCCGGTGCCGTCGATGCCCGCGCCGCCGCCCTCGCCCACGGCGCCCACGCCCTCCCCGTCCTCGTCCTCGGACGACGACGACGACGACGACGACTCGTACTCGGGGACGGGGTCGCGCACCTCCGCGTCCTCCGGGGACGTGTGGCCCTCGTCCGAGTCCTCGGGCTCGTCGCTGGCGGCGTCGGGCAAGAGCGCAGGCAAGCGCTACGCGGAACTAAGAACGTGCGAGATGAACTTGGGAACGGAGAAAAATTCGGTTGCGGATCACGCAGAAGTATCTGGTTCAGGGCGTCACCTGATGTCACTGCGGTGCCTCTGACGAGGAGGTCCTAGGCTCCCAGTCCCGGCCGTGGCAGGATTTTCGACTTTAACTTAACCCGTTACTGATAATAATAATGAATAGTAATATTTATTGATTAATAATAATAATAATAATAATAATAATATTTATTGAATAATAGTTGGTGTTTGGTGGCAAAATAATGTGTCCTTGCATAAACATTAATGTTGCCAATAATATTTCTTCAACAGTGGAAATTTATATATTGCGTCTTTATTAGAAACCATTGTCGACATCAATTGGCACTATTGTTTGGAAGCCGTGGCGTCTTTAATCTCTTGGTATTCGGCAGTATGTTGTGAAGTGGAAGCAACTCTTAAAAAATGTATGTATGTTGTATGTTTTTAACGTATATCAAACTTTATTCTATATAATACTTTAACAAAGAACCGATATTTATTCCTATTTAAATTCGCACTCAATTGATAAAATCTCCTGCCGCCCAGTCTGCTATAAACGTTTATGGTCATTTGTTTTTTGCCACCGTTCAGTATCATTGTATATTGACTGATGCTGATCGATTATAATATTATTCACGTATTGGTACAGACAGTCACTAACACTTTAAGAGTGTCTGGACTTGTTAGAAGAACCTTATTCCTGTGATGCTGATAGTGATTCAACCCACCAGATTGCCATACAGCCACCACTAGAACCAGAACATAAGACCAGACATAAAACATAGATTCTTATCTCTCGGACGACAAAGTTACAGAGAACTTTGACCATTTCCAGCTCGTATTTTGAGTTCTGGAGGAAGTTTATCACATATTGAATGAGATTCTGAGGATCAAATACCATTGAATGTACTTTTAAATGTGATAGTACTAGAAAGATTACCTTAATAATTTTGTACAGAAAAATGGCTAGATAGAAATCCTAAGTTTACTGTTGCAAATTTAAATCACACTCGGAGGGCTTATTGAAAGAGATTGTTAAAGATCCAATTCATACTTTTTTAACCTATTTCACCGAAAGTTTTAATCAACATCTAGTTCTTCAGACTAATTTATAGGTATTTCTGAAAGGGAATCATTCCCTAAACATAATAACAGATGAAACGATTTGTTTTGTAGACATCTTGTTTTTTCTTCACGATGACTTTTATTTAGGCCTCTTGGGAATGAAATGCCTCTCCTCCACATCCGACGTCTTATCACACTAGGTCTTCTGCAGACCTTTGGGCACTGAAGCGCAGACCAGGGCCAAGCGCTCCTCAGTCGCTCGTATCCATGGCCGTCTGTGAACTCGATGGAAGAGGCCATGTTCTAATTAAAGGAGACCAGGCGTTTAAAAGATGCACGGTATGTCGGCGAAGAACAGGCTTTGTATAGCTACCTTGCAATAAATGTAAGATAGCCCTCCATCCTAAGTGTTTTGAAACATTTCATTCCTAAATATCGTACTTGCAGAGTAAACGTTTAAAGAGAGTTTGTAAAATCACAATTTTTAATTTTCTACGTTCACATAATAAATATAAAATTTCTGAATAAATAATAAAAACTGAACAAATTGTAAATTATTGTCTAAATTACAAATATAATCAATTGGAAAAGAATGGAAGCGTTTTTCTTAAACGAAAGTGGCAATTGAATTTTACAAGAAAGTGCTTGGTGGCAAAAAATTGACCATTCATTATCTAGAAATCTAGAAGAAAACAATAAAAAAATTCACAATCAAGTGTTTATTTTTAACGAACAGGAGTACAATGCAGTCGAAAAACAATATTTTGAAGCAAAAGAAGTTCTGAGCATTAATGGGTTAATAGCTAGGAGGAATGTAGCCACTGTCTGGACGAGAATTCTAGCGGCCGGTCGCTCTGAGCGACAGTTTCCTGTGGTTTCTCCGATCAAATACCAGGCGAATGCCGGAGCAGATCCTAACAAAAATGGGCCGCAAGCGATCTTTCCTACTCCATCTTTGACATACACTCGACCCTTAGTTGCACTGACAGTACATGCCTATCTGGAGCCGATTGGCAGCTTAGAGTTTGTCCCAGCTTGGGCGGTGTCCCGCTGGTGAGAGATACCTGGTTGGGGAAAATCCCCGCAAGCCGACGTGTATGTCGATGTGAGTGTGTGTAACGGCTGAGTATAGGACAAGAAAGGGGGAAAGATCACGCGCGGTCCGTGGCCCGTTTGTTAGGGTACTGCTCGAGCATTCCCTTGGTGTTGATCGGAGAAACTGCGGAAAACTACCAATCAGAGCAGCCGGCCGCTGGAATTCTCTTCCAGAAAACCGCTGAAATCGACCAAGCTATCTAGCTAGTGTTGAAAATCCTGCCAACCGTCGGGAATCGAATACTAGGACCCGTTCAGTACTGTTATCGGTTGATGCCCTAAGCCACAAAAGCTGGTACCAATTAGAAGGATGATGTTAAAAATGAGTAATATATAACTTGGTGATAAGAGATTTTTCACTACATGTTCATCCGTGAAAAATTGTCACCTTAGACCCTCCTTGTCCCTCTAGAAGTTAGTTACTTTCATTCCGAACCATCCAGTAGAAATTACGCATGCGAACGTTTTTCAATTGGCCGTGTAATAATAGAGAGTACCACAGCCCCAGTAGGAGTTTACCAACATTCGTGAAATTAATACGCAACATTTCTACTAATAGCTCGCCGATCAATTTAGTTTGACATTACCAACACTGTGGTGACACGCCTGAATTTATTGTCCGAATAATATTTCTATCTTCGTGACAGCGGCTGACAGGGAGAGGTGGTTTCGTTATCCAGTCAGAGACTTCAAATTCTGATGATGTCTCTGCAGAGTTACCGATGCTTATTAAGAAATACATCTTACAGCGCAAAGTAACCGAAAATTGAAGATCGCCATTTGGCGCCATTATTTGTTTGTTAATGCGTCTTGTGTGCTGTTCTGTGTCACCCACTGTTGTGTGCTCTCATTGCGATTTGTTTGTTATTACTACTGCTGATGTGATCTGACGCAAGAACGACCACGTGTCTGCCGCCCGAGTACATGCCAACAACACTCTACCCCTCCCCCAACCGTCAAGTAGACAGAAATATTCTTCGGACAATTGTATGTCATTAAATTGACTAAGTTGCTGTTATGGCGTCGTTAGTCGAATTGCTTAACTACTACGCTCTGTGACGCCACGGAAGTTGAGCAGATAGAGACACCACGAATTCCTGGATGGGTGACCGTCCGGGAACCCCGGATTACTAACGGCGACGAGTCTCTGACCAAAGGGATATAGCGCACTGACTGAGACGTGACGAGACAAAAAGATCAAAAACTGAGGGCGAATTTCCCCAGATACGCTCAATGTTCAAGGGCCAAGGGGCGTGTTGCGAAAAGACTGCGTTGTAAAATCCGCAGGCAAGAAGCGGAAGCGCCGCTCGAAGCGGCCGCCAGGGGCGTCAGAGACGCCCCGCGAGAGACCGTCCAGGTCGCGTCACCGCCGCAAGAGTGCACAGGGATCTCCTCGCGTCAGCACTTCGGTGCCGCGGGCTCCGAGCGTCGACCCTGGCCGTCACCACAGCCGCCGCAACAGCAGTAGCGCTAGCAACAGTGGCGCAACCGCAACGCGATCACAGCGCCGTCCCAGCAAGGACCAGCCCGCGCAGCCTAGCGGCGCCGACGCGAACAAGTCCCGCCGCCGGCCCTCCTGAAACCCGTGAGCACTTTTTGATTTTGTTTTTTACAGCCGCAACAGACTTCAGCCACAATTACGGCAAATGTGGAAAGAGGTCGATGAGGTTGCGTACACATTCAAGAAGCTTCTATTGATTGATTTCTAGTGATTCTGTCAATTGCTAAGGTCATTAATTCCTTAAATCATTAACACAAACTAGTGGTGCTACAGAATGGCACAGTCTTTCTCGACCTAATTAGTTTTCTAATTTTTTTTGTCTGGGCTAGTTTTTTGGACTTGCCTCATACTTTTGCCAGCATAGTTCGCCAGTGCATAGTTTTTGTTCGAGAGGTGTTTAAAAGTTAGTAAATAACACGATCCACCGGCGACGGAGGCAGCGGCGGCGGCTTTCGCTACGGCGCGTTGTGGTTTAAAGCAACAATAGACGGTTTGTTTGGCTTATGCGTTTTATAAAGCAGTAACACTAATAGTATCACTGAGAAGCAAACACAAATAATTTGAAAAATATATAATAGTAATTAGTATTAAATACTGTAGTATTGTAATATTGACCAAATCTACTCGTTTTAACACGAATTACACGTTACTTCTTGACTGAACATATAATACTAAATGCTCCATACGTTTTCACACCTAAGAAAATTCCCTCAAATTCTCATCACAAATGCAAGAACGAAGCCGTTTCCGTCTGTATTCACAAATCAACATGTGTATAGCTTAGGGTTGGGACTCCAGAATTTAAGATAACATACACATAATACTTTTCTCCCCATAGTACATCACACACAGATTTTAACTATCGACAGACGTTTTGCCGTCAATCGAGTTTTGGGGATCATGGACCCATAACACCCTAAACGTTATAGCACCATCAATCTTTTGTGCATCCGCAGTTCAAGTTTCGCATCACTTGTGTATGTGCACATGCGCAGAAGATCGATAGGGCTGTCCGTTACGGCGTGCACTAACTCCCTGCATGGATTCTGACGATACAATGTGTTAGAGGAAGTAATTTATTACGGTGGACAGAGGCGGTGTGTACGGAATTCTATTGGAGGTAACATTTAGTGATGCTACATTCTTTAACAAATATCGATGTTACAAATTATTAATGTTCAAAATTATCTAAAACCATCCACGTTTTTAAACTTCGATGCGATGTTTTAAAGTTGGTTTAGTATTCTCTAAAATGAAATTGGTGCAACAAAATTTAATTTTTCAGTGGCCATATTTATTATTTTAAAATGAAGATTAACTTGAAAACAAAGTAAAAATAATAACTAAAAAACATCGCCGTTTTCCGAAGCCCGATTACATAACTTTCTCTCCTGACGAAATGCTTCATAAGGCGAAAATTTAAAAATACTAAGCCCGAAATCCTGAGCGCCCACAGTAATCTCAAGCGGTCACAGTTTCCTGAGTTTCCCGAAGAGGGGAAGTCATTACCCCACGGCGAATCCCGCCTCTCCATATAAGAAATACAAGGAAAGACATGAAACACTAAGGCATCGGGATCCTCCTGAGTGGAAGATGGTCTCTCGATGAAGATAGTACAGTTAGTGCACTCTATGGAACACAATGTAAACTACTGCGCCAGTTTGATTTTGGCTCTCTCTCATCCATGAGATACGCATAAAAACCAATACAGTGTTCTTTACACAGCATTAAATGGGCAATCTCGAAATTAGTGGTTCTACAGAATGGTACAGAATTTTTCGAATTAGTTTTCTATTTTCCTTGGTCTGGGTTAGCAATTTGGATTTGCCGCATACTCTTTCCACCTACTATCTATTGCCGCCCAATTTTTGTTTTATCTCCATTTTCAGGTTTCCCGATAGTAGAACTAAAAGTACCGCAAAATTTTTTAGGAAGTTTTTCAAAATCGCGACGCTTGAGTCGTGCTAGACCAACCAGGGAATATCCATTTTAGTGTATGGACTCGAAAACGTGTATTTCCATGGAAATCTCGAAATCGATTTTCCACAGCATTATATAACTTTCTCCATACTATATGTTATATACGTATATAATTGTATTGTAAATACGTATTATAAACTTATATAATACGTATTATATACGTATATATTACTCTGTATACGTATATGTACGTACACGAGAAAGTAAAACTGTGCCACACCGTAGGAGGTTCAGATATTTTATACATATTTGTACGTGTGTGCCATGACACCGGCACTACCCTATAAGCCGTCACTTTATAGGGACAAGATTTATCCACTTTCTCGTTACCAGGTCCCCGCAATAAGAGTCTTTCTGTCAAAATTCGCTAATTCCATTTCATTATAATACTTTCTCTGTATTGCGTAAACATTAGTGAGAAAGTAAAAATAACGTAGGCCCAACGTTAACTAACAATAAACATACTAACCTTAGTTGCAGAACGATTCAAACGAAATCTTCGTAGTGATATTATTTTAGCATGTGACTCCATCATTAACATTACTTTGTTACTATGAAATCGAAAAAGAGAAACGTAACAAAGCTCGTTGATAATAAATTGACCCCATGTAATCACTCCTTGAACTTCCGCGCTCAAATATCTTGAATGGGCCTGGTTTCCTTTTCCCACAGTACGGAGTGTTGCTCTGAAATGCTCGAGCCAGAACCAGAGAGTTTAGAGTTGTGACAAAGGAACACAGTTTAGTGGAGAGGAGGAGGAGGAGGAACAAGATGTCGCTGTCGAGGTAAACAAGTTTGATTGTTATTTCTAGTTTTATACAATTGGCATCTTGTTGCATTGTTAAAAATATAATGTCTAATACTGAAAACGTGATGATTAGTATTAATAAATGTTGTCCTTCAGTTTTTTTTGGTGCTTGACGGTTTGAATTCAAGCAACGTACCTCAGTGCTATGAAGTGTTCAACGTCATGTTTTCGTACTTAACAAGCATTATTTTGTTGAAATATTTTATGGTAATGTATAATATTTTGATTTTAGTATCCTCCCTGCACCCACCCAACCGGTGTGGGATCGGGATGAAGAACGTTCCAAGATAAAGTTGCCTTCAACTGCGTTGGTACTTGCAAGTCCAACTGCACCACCGTACGGACAAAGAAGAGGATGGGTTCCTCGATCATTAGAGGTTTGTCTATTTCATTTTGAACAGTTATGGATTAGTTTATAAACAGGATATTAATTTTTGTGTTGCTTGTGTTTTAGGATTTTGGAGATGGCGGAGCCTTCCCCGAAATCCATGTTGCACAGTACCCTCTAAATATGGGTCGAGAAGGAAAAGAAAGCACATCAAATGCCTTAGCTGTGCAGTTAGATGCTCAGGGAAAAATCAAATATGATGTTCTTGCTCGTCAAGGTCACTCTAAAGATAAAGTATGTTGTGTCTCTGAAGTTATTTATTTTAGTGCAAATATCTGGTATCGTTACATTCCCATTGTTCAGCTGTACTGTTTTTGGGTAAAAGTTTGCCTATTTTGTGATCTTGTTCTAGATAATCTACTCAAAACTTTCTGACTTACTACCAGCAGAAGTAGTTGCAGAGGATGATCCCAGTTTAGAAAGACCTGATGATGATGAACTAAAAGAAATCACAGAAAAGACTAAAGCAGCTCTAGAACTATTGACACATACCAAAATTGCTGCTGCTATGCCTGTGAGATGTGCAGAGAAGACGGTGAGAGTCTTGCAGACATATATAATCTTTATTTAATTAATTTGTGCAAGTGTTTCATGTTTTAGATGTTTGTTGCAGGGACCGGCTCAGTATATACGTTACACACCGTCGCAACAGGGTGCTGCTTTTAACTCTGGAGCAAAACAGAGAGTTATTCGAATGGTAGAAGCTCAGCGAGATCCTATTGAACCACCTAAATTCAAGTGAGAATATGTATATTTATTTATCTCATTAAAAATTATATTATTCTTGTTAGTCCCCTCATCAATGACTTTTTTCTTGTTTTATGTCAGGATTAAAACTTCATGTAATTCAGATTTTAATGTTCCTACTTTTCTCAGTAGAATTTATTTTTTTTATAAACCATGATAAAAATTTTTAATTTGTGGCTGTTTTCTTAGAATCAATAAAAAAATTCCTCGAGGTCCACCATCACCACCAGCTCCAGTTATGCATTCCCCAACTCGTAAAGTTACTGTGAAGGAACAAAAAGAGTGGAAGATACCTCCCTGTATATCAAACTGGAAAAATGCAAAGGTAAGAATATTGAAAAAAAAAAATCATTATTCCGTGTACATTCTTTTCTCTGTGTTTTCAGTAATGCCACTGGGCATATTAAGAAAATTATCATTTCAAGTCATGTTAACCTTTTGTAAACAAGAAATCAACAGCTTTTTTTATTTTTGTCATTGCAAAATTAATTTTAGGTAAATACTGTATTTATCTGATTATAAGACGAGCATTTTCCCCCATTTTCAACCTCTAATAATCTCTATATTGTTGTTCAAAACTTTCGGATTTTAACAAATGTTAATGTGCTATTCGGTGCAGCAATAATGATATATTATATTGTGATATTTGTAAATTAGAATATATTTTGGATTTTGTCTCAAAGGAATGCAATTATAAACAGTAATATTATCTGTTCTTTTGATATTTTATTTCTGAATTGGTATAATAGTGCCATTCATTAAAGTGCTGTGTTAATTGCACCTATGTTACAACAAAATGTGCATCACAAATTTGTATGCTACATAAAAAGGAAAAAGTATTTTCATTCAAAATTATTAGTCAGTGGTAAATTTCCAAGCCCTTCAATTCTAGATTTTTTTTGGTTAAATTTGAAACTGTTTTCATACAGATTTTGTTCTAAATAATATTTAATTTTCTAGAACATCAGTCTTTTGAATTTGTTTATCTGCAAGGATTTTAGATGGCTAAAAATTGTTTTGATCTAAGCCCTAACTTAATTTAATAGTTGTTGGTTTCAAAATTTAAATAGATTTCTTTGAGAAATGTGTATAAAAGGAAAACATTTTAAGTAAATATTTATAAAGCTGATTTTGACCCCAAGAGCTGATGTTTTACAGATTTTTACTATACATTTTAGTGAAATGGAAAATAAATTTCCTCAATACTTACAAATAGTTGGGCCTCTTCAGAAATATAAAGCTCAATAATTGTTGTGCTTTTTATATCTAAGACATCCTGTAGAAATGCATTGCCTGATATACTGTTCACATTACTATCTTTTGTTTAGGGATACACAATACCTTTGGATAAGCGTCTTGCAGCTGATGGCAGAGGCTTGCAACAAGTTCATATTAATGAAAATTTTGCAAAACTTGCAGAAGCCTTATATATAGCTGACAGAAAGGTATGTTTGATCTCAATATTGACTAGAATGGATGCAAATGTTCTCTTGAATGTTGTCTCTCCTTTGAATAATTTTCATAGAATCACTGTGTCCAAAAAAGATTCAAAGTGCAATGTCGGAAATAATTACACCTACAAGCAAGATAACATTCCCTTGTTGTTAGAAATTAATAAAGTTGTATAGTGAAATCAGGGGGACCTTAGTTATTAGTTTGTTACAATGAAATGAAATTTTACAATGAAGTCATGTCTTAAGAACACACAATGCTTTTTCCAATTTTTAATTTTTATATTCTTGTGTACATACTTATATACAGAGTAATATATTTAGTATAGAGAAAGTTATGTAATGCTGCAGAAAATTGATTTTGAAATTTAAATAGAAATACATGTTTTGGGACCCTCTGATAACAATTTTTTTTTTACGTCAGCCCATTGTGTGCGAGCAATGTTTGGCAAAATGAGTATTCTCCCAAATTTTTGTACTTGTTTGAGGTCTAACAAAATTCTTTGAATTTTAGGGGTACTATACTTGAAGCCCCTGGGATATTTTTAAAAAATTGGCAAAAATTACTCCAATGTTTTTCTTTAAATTTCTTGTAAAAATAGAGTGAAATACACAGTGGCACAGGTCCAGTTTTCATGGATATGTTAAAATAATTTTTTTTTAAATATGGCTCCAAATATTTTTCTTTAAACTTTCTGTACACACAATGCTTAATTCCCTAATTAATATCAACAATTTTTTATGTATTTATTCACTCACCATTTTCATATATTCTTTTGTTTTTTCAAAAGTTACACAAATGTAATTGTTTTTATACATATCTCCCATAGTTAATATTTACATTATGGGCCTTTTTAATACATTATTACATTTGTCTGTATAGAAGTGCATTCAATGATTTTTAAAGAAGTTTCTCAAAAACTTGAAACTCTTTTTGCGAACATGAACTCAAATTTCTGAATTTTCTCAAAATTGTTCGATGAAAATTTGCATATGAAACAAATTTTACTTTTCTACTGTGTTCTATAAGTCATATTTCAATTCTGCTGTTAGTGGAAAGAAAAATTGAGAAATTGTGAAAATAGATAGAGCCAGTGAGTAGTAGCTAATGAGTAGAAACTGGAAAGGTGGGGATAATCGATAAGCTAGCTCAGACTAAACAGATTAGGAAAGTGACTAGAACAAGAAAGCCTGTGTCATTCTGTTATAACACTAGTTCAAATTAGCTTTAAAAAGTATTTTTCTTAAAGATCTATTTTCAATCGAATTTTGAAATTGAATGTTATGATCAAGATTTGAAACTGTGTTACCTACTTATTGTTTGTAAACTGTGCACTGCTATCCAACCAATAGAATTGTGAATTCTTTCATTGGAAGGCAAATACAGCTTCACCAATTACTTTCATGTGTGGATAATGGTTATTATTGTAGAATTGTTTGAATAAAACTATAATATAATGAGGAAAATGTTTATTTTAAAACGGGAAGAATTTCAATTATAAAATGAAAAATGGCAGTAAAGCCCTAGGCAAAAGATGATATTTTAAATCATACTAGAAGTTTGAATTTCATTAATGGGAAATTATTTATACTTATAACCTGTAGGTAAATTGTGGATGACCTAAACTAAATTTATAAAACTGATAATTTAATTTTATCAATGTTCTTATTAAGACATTTCTCTGCAAGTTGTTTAGAGTACATAAAATCACTATGATTGTCACAATGATCAAAGAAGAAAAAAGTGGTCTTGTACTTATAAGTACCCATTTCCAGATCAAAAATGAAAGATAAAATAAACTCTTTATTTACACTATCTGAAGAGTATTTGAAACAGCCACATTTCTGTCATTTTTCGGGACTTAATTACTTTTTCCTATAGTATTTGAAACAGTATGATTCCCCCATTTTATTTATATTTGTGTGTGTGTGTGTAGGCTCGTGAAGCTGTAGAGATGCGTGCCCAGTTGGAGAAGAAACTGGCACAAAAAGAGAAGGAAAAGAAAGAGGAGCATTTGCGTCAGTTGGCGCAAAAGGCTCGAGAAGAAAGAGCTGGAATCAGGACTGCAGCAGCTGCAGGTGTGTTATTTATTTTTGTTTTATTATTATTATTATTATTATTATTATTATTATTATTATTATTATTATTATTATTATTTATTATTTCTTCCATATTTACCAAAATATAAGATTTTTCTTTCTTTCTCTCTCTCCCCTTAAATATCTCATTTGAAAAATATGGGGTTGTCTTATATTTCCAAATGAAGTCAAATTGATTAAGAATTATGTTTCTACTCTTGTCTTTTGCATATATCATGCATATACAAGTATGTAACTCATGTGTATTCAGGGATGTAATCATTGCTTCCTTCATAAATTTGCCAGGCATTCCAGACCAAAATTTTTGAATGGGCTTGTCAAAAGAGAATTGGAGACAAATGGCATTGTAGTAAGCTAAATGCAGCCTAAAAAAGATAAAAATCATTTCTGAGAGTTTGTTACATAGTGCTGATTGACAAGGCTACGTGCACACTCAGATCGACATAGCAATCTCACTGACGACGCCATCTCTTGGCATCTTAAAAAAACTTATAGAACTGCTTTTTCCATATAAACTAATTAGAGAAATTGTGGAAAATCCTCTATCTAACCAACAGAAATTTAAGGTCTCAAACTATCAATGTAGACAGAAATGTGGATTTTTGTGGTCAAATTCTATAAATTAGTATATATTGCAAATTTCCCTTTAGGAGGATTGTGCAAATGTGAGAATGAAATTGGGTCCGATTTCAGTTTCAGTATTTAAATATATACATGACATTTTAAATAAATTATTCATGAAACAGGGTGACAAGAGAAACATTGATATAAGAGTTTCCAAAACAACTCAATCACACTAACATTAAACAATGCAAATTCGAAGAGGTTCTGTTAAAGAATCAGAGGCCTTAAATGAGCATGATAGGAAGAAATTCTAAGGATTCTGGAAGGAATTTTCTTAGGCAGCATCTGATGAAATATGAAAACACGTTCAATAAGCAAAACTTTCAGGGAATGATGTAGTATGGGAGAATGATCAGAAACAAAGGTTTAGTTATAATTTTTTAAGAAGAAGATGGCATTAACAAAGATGGTTTCAACAAAGACAGGTACAATAAATTGTGATAGCTCTGGCAACAAATGGTTAGCATTCTCATCGGCAAGGCAAAATTTTATTTTGGCTAAATTCTAAGAAATTTTTAAAAAATCTTAAGAGAGTTGTTTTTGTATTTAGGGGCACATTTTATATTCAAAATCGACTTACATGTGGGTAAATATGGTATTATTGTTAAATTGATATCTTTGATGGTTCCCTATTGTCACTGGTATTGTCAAAAGATTTCGCAAGTTTAACATCCCAAAAAAGAGTACATCGTACAATGAAAATTAAATACTACTGAGAAATTTGTGCCAATTGTTCAAATTACAATTCTGTTCAGTTTAATTTGCTGTAAAGTTTTTCAGGTATTTACTTCCTTTTAGTTTTTCCTCTACATTAGGATTAAAAATTTCATTGTATGAATTTATTCCATAATGAATTGCATAAAGCTTAAACAATAGTGTGTGTACTCAGCTTGTATGTGAGATGTTCAGTTAGTATTAGTTCAGTTTAGGGTATTAGTTTTATAAATAATTGTGTATATTGTGTTAATTCTTGTCTTATACATGTTTCTACAGAGAAAGATGAGGAAGCCAGGGAACGTGACCAGATGCGGTATGAACGACACAAGGATCGGCAGAGGGAGAGAAACATAGCTCGTGCTGCTCCTGACAAGAGGTAACGAACTTCCTCATATTATTCCTCAGATGTATGAATAGGGAAAAAATGATCATAATATTCTGGAACACATTAAGTGGTCATATTCCTATTCTGTTTAGTTTTACTTATTAACCTGGTGTAGATAATTTATTCAAGAAGAACTTGATGCAAGTGAACATTGTGTTCAGGATTAAATTTTATAGAATGTAATCTTCATTTACCATTCATCATTTTGATTTCTCAACAGTGTGTATTGTTGTAACTTAGCATAGATTCTCAAATGTAAATTGTGCATAATTTGAATATTTTGAAAAAAAATAAAAAAACTCTTTGTTCAGGTCTAAACTGCAGCGAGATCGAGAACGTGATATTAGTGAACAGATTGCTTTGGGCCTGCCAGCTAAGAACATAAGTGGAGGAGAAGTACAGTTTGACCAGCGTCTATTCAATACTTCCAAAGGAATGGACAGTGGGTATGCTGACGAAGAAGCTTACAACGTGTACGACAAACCCTGGCGTGAGAGTGGCACTCTTGGATCTCACATCTACCGCCCCAGTCGCAACCTTGACAAGGATGTGTATGGTGATGATCTGGACAAACTCATCAAAACAAACAGGTTAGAACAATGTACAATAAAACTACATTTGCACATTTTTCAGGGAACCGAAGGATATAAATGAAGAAGTGAGAAAACATAACTGAAATTGAATATTACAAGCAAATTAAGAAATTGATATTTCTATATTTGCACTCCCTACTCTTGGACCTGCTTGCAGTAATTGCTGCCAATGTTAATTTCAAAAGCCAGGCATAGGTATACCGGTTGGAAAAGATAACGTTGATATTTTCACTTTATGCAGTGTGTACTTTAATGACATTATAAATATTGGATTGCTTCGTATTTCAATATATCCTGTAAATGGATCAAATTTTTATAGTGTAACATTGGTAAACATTATGCAAAGCCATACCAGATGTCACTAGCACCTCTGTCCTTTTATTGTGTAGGTTTGTCCAAAATTCCGAAATAGAGGCCCAAAACTAGTTGAAATGCCTGCGTAGCGACAAAGTTAAACAACCTTTACATTGAATTTAACACATGTCTTGGGCTCCTCTACAATAACGTAATCGTTCTCACTTATTGATCACCGATGTCCTTTTCATTTCGACTTTATGTGGTCTTAAAGGGACTTCAATTATGAACAAATCAGCATTGAAAAAATATAAAACCAATATCTGAAATAATTTAACATGTATAGGAATTGATCTTGGACTTACAAAAAGCAACATAGAAACGTGCATAATGTCTAGACAAAGTTTCACTGTATTTTCCTCAGAATTATGTAATTTAATCACATTTCAAAAGGAAAATCAAAGAATTTTATATAGAAAATTATAGATAATTTGAAATAAAATGTAATTGGTATAGTTTTCCACTGATTTGAAATAACTATACTTTAGCCCAAAATAATTGTGGCAGTTTCATTGAAGAGTTGAATTAATACATTAACTATTAACTTTCTCTGCAGGTTTGTTCCTGACAAGGAGTTCAGTGGAACTGACAGAAATGCTACCAGAAGTGGGCCTGTTCAATTTGAGAAGGAAGAGGAGGATCCTTTCGGTCTGGATCAATTCTTGACTCAGGCCAAGCGTGCTAGCAAGCGACCGAAAGATGACAGAGATCGCAGAGGTGAAGACAGAGATAAGCGCAAGCGAAGAGATTAAGGCTACAGCCATTTGCTGTCATCTGGGTGTGTCGGGATGTGTCAATTCACTTCCCTGCTTTAGGTTTATACTTCATCAGTGGATTTAGAATCCACCATATGCATTCAAAAATTATGCTGTAATGCATCTGCAAATACATCTATTAAGTTTTATTTGCATTAGGGTATGTCAATGATTTTCAATACAGTGTTGAAATACTGAGAGTTTGACTTGAAGCAATAGAATTCAGGTACATTACTGTTGACCAAATTTTGATAGTGCATTTTTGTAATTATCAAATGTATGGAGTGAATTTTTTTTGTGAGGGTTAATGCGTAATTGTGTGTACATTATTAATTAAAATGGAGCATGATAATGTATAATGGAAATTAAATAAATACATTTATTACTTCATGAGTTATTTTTATATTCAAAATCCATAGAACTTCCTCCCCTAGGTGTAAGAGAACTCTTTCTCAAGATTCTCATACATCGTTTTCGGTAACCATCGATGCTTCAAGATGGCGCCACTGTGCTGTTTTCAGCGATATCTTGTGGCGTTGGCGTGAACCTACAGATCAGAGAAGACAGTCGTAGTTGCACAATTCGTGATTCTGTCGCGATCGCAAAGGATCGGTTTGATACCGGCATGTCAGCTGTATAATGTTAGTGAGGGATAAATGTGATGAATTTTAATCTGTACGAATAATAGATTTTAATTAATAATTCCTAAGCAAGATGGAGAATGATATTATTGACGCACTTGAGGATATAGGGTATGTACTTCCATAAGCGAGCCATTAGTTCTATAATTTGGTGGAATTTCACTTCTATCTTCTCCCTACTGTACGTCCTATGTGAATAAGACCACCCTTTTGAATTCCAGTGCAAATAAAGTATCGAGTTAAATTACAGTAGTGATTGCATGCGTGTAAACATTACTGCGGACGTGATTGTCGTCAGTCAGGAACTAGGTTATTTGAGTGGAGAACATGTGACAAAGTATTTTGCCAATGTGTGACATTAATTCCATTTGATTCGTGACAGATACACTGGGCCAATAGTAGATGAAGAAGGATGTCTGGAGAAGGCTCTAGAAGGTGGTCCCAAGTCTATAGAATTTTCTCAGTTAATAGAATGGATATCTAAGGAACTGAAGACATTATGCAGCTTAGAAGAACATGTAAATGCCATTACTTCTGCTGATGATTCAAGCTCATTCTTGCTAGAACTTAGTAGTTTTCTTAAGGAACTGGGTATGCAGAAATTATTTTTTCTGTGATGTTTGTTCTTGTGAAAATTAAGAAAAATTGAGTATTTTTTTGTGTAGGTTGTGCATATACTTCGCTGACATCAGGGCACATGAGTGATCGTTTAAACTCCCGTAAGAAACGACTGCTGCTTCTTGATTATTTACTAAGTGAATTGGAAGCAGCACGTATGATTAGTATCAATAAACCCGATCTTAGTAAAGCTATGCAAGTGCATCTGGTGAGTGAAGTCTATTTATTAGTAGATATATGTAAGCATAAAGAACAAGTTTGTTGTTTTGAATCAACATTCATTTTTGCTTGTACCTTCTGCCCTTAGTCTGAAAGTTCTACAGCTAGTGACTTAAAGAATATGTTGATTGCCCTGAAGTTTCCTAAGCCACCAACAAACATTACTCCCGGCTTGCTTTTTGGAAAAGTGGAACAAAAGGTGAAATGTTTTAACATCGCTGTAGTGTTATCACAACTCTATAAAATTATTTGACACATTTTTTTAAAGAATTTTGTACATATCATTTTAACAATGCTATAAACTATTAACACTGACAATATTTTGCAGATGAAAGAAGTAATATCTAAGGCATCTCCAGAATTGGTGGGGAAACCTCTATTCACAGGTGTTCTTTCAGACAAACAATGGCAGCAACTTGGTGATCTTCAAACCGAATTACAAACAGAATATAGGACCCGGCGAGAGTTGCTAATTAAACGATTGGATGTTACTATTCAATCTTTCCAGGCAAGTGAAGAGTATTTTAAAGCGTTAAATTATTTTATTTCAATAAATTTGATGGCTTTATATATGATAATCTGACGAGTTCATGATTTACATATGTTAAGCTTATTAAGAAAATCAGAAAGAAGTTTTTAAAAAATGTTACTGTATATAAGGAAATAAGAAATGAATCAATTCACTAAAGAAGAAAAGCAAAACAAAACTTGCCAAATGTTTAAATTTCACCCAAATTCTTTAGGCTTGAGAGTTGCAAGAGTTTCCAATGTATCTGTAGATGTAATAATAATAATAACAATAACAATAATAATGAATATACACAATTCATTTTAAGTTATAAAAATGTAATTGTCTTTTCTGAAATAAATTTAATACTATTCCTATGTCAATCATAGGCAGTCATGCTTTTCTTTAGTTATTTAGCACCTTGCATATTTAAATGCTCAATCTCATTTTTAATAATTAATAAACTGATTGTCACCTTGCAGTGGTCTGATCGTGTAAAAGCTCGTCAAGATGAAATTGCAGCAATGTTCCTTGGCCGGCGGAAAGCACTAGTAGTAGAACCAGAGGTGCACCTTTCAGACCTCTTATCTGCACGCGAGGATCTTGCAGTTATAGAAAAGACCAGCAATGCAAGTGTACGCAAGAATACACAGTCTTCCATTAATAAAGTCATCATTGGACGGGTATGTGACTTCTTGCATTTCTTGTTGATGTATGTGTTCTTTCTTTTCTTCTTCTTCTCCCAGGGTGTTGTAATTTAAATATGTGCTTTTTTTATTTACCACTTAGTTTCTTGTTAGGAAAGTGGAAAGGTAAAGGACAGAGTTTTTGTTGATTTCATCTCATATGTCAAGTGCTATTTGGTATCTTTGTTCTTCAGTCTATTAAAAGAGAAAATTTGACAGTTATCTCTTAGGTGATAATAGAATTGCTTTTGTTAAGCACTTCCAAGAAATTTATCTATTTAATGGGAAAGATTAAAAATGTTAAATATTTGAAAGGGAAAGAAATATGATTCACAACTTTTTAAAATTATATTTTTTTATTATAATATGAATAACAAAACAATATGATAATTTTACTCTTGTAAAATTAGAAACATATGGATTGATTGGATGGGTTTGAGGGGTCTGAATGTGAAGAATTGATAAATAATGAAAGTTGCCTATGATTAAAGGCTATATAATAAGAATTCTGAAGATTTATGGACAAACAATATTTGTGATGACACAATGACATTTTTTTTCTTGACATGCTGTTGGAGACCTGTGAGAAAGTGAAAGTATTTATGTGGCAATACAAATCTAAAACATGTGTAATAAAAGGATGATGGTCTTTGAAAACTAATACTAAACATAGTCAAATTGTGCCAAAGAATGCATTTGTAGTTTTTCAATATTTATACTCTGGTACTAATTGTCTTTCTTCCCAGTCCGTGAAATTGCAATTCTAATTCTAAATCTTTGATACCAGAGAAATCATTAACAATTATGCAGAAATTAATGTTGCAAATGGGGGAAATTTTTGTGTGTATATGATGCTCTTACCTTGTATTTAGAAAAATGCCCCCTTATTGATGATCAAATAAAATAATCATCTTACTCTCCATTTTTCTGCTTAGGTATTATTATACATGAATACAGATTTACTATTACATAGTATAACATCTGTTCAATTATTATTACAAATTATACAATACAAATTAACCAATCTTACACAATATTGCAGAATTGTTGTATATCTGGTTTTGTCATGTTATGATTAGTAATCTGAAGCTACTTCATTTTTCAAAAATCCAGTGTTTAAATCACCACCATTCTTTCATTGGACAGTGTCACGCATCAACAGAATTAGTGCCAGTTTTAGAAAATCAGCAATCTTATTGTTCTTTGTGTGACAATGAAATACATAAGATATCAGTCATTTTTTCTTTGAGCTTCAGCAATGAATGCAACATCGTTCAAGAATATATCAAAATTCTTAAAACTTCCTAGTGTTTTTCTTGTAAAACCGAGAGTGTATTAGATTGGCCATCCAATTAAGAAATTGGGTTTGTTGCAGGTGCCAGACCGAGGAGGCCGGCCCAGTGAGCAGCAACCACCTCCGCCAGAGATGCCTTCGTGGCAGCAAAATAGAGGTAAGGAGATGTTGTCATTGGCGGCGGCGATGGTGTGACGGTTAGCGTACCGGACCGTTATACCCAAGCTCTCGGGTTCAAACCCGATCGAAGCCTTGGATTTTTAAGGGCGACAAAATCCTTTGTACGCCTTCCTTCGGAGGAGAAGTAAAGCCAGCTGTCCCATGTTAGTAGATTTACTTGCATGTAAAAGATCCTCAAGCCTAAGTAACGCCTCTGAGCTAAATTCAAATCGCCTGTATCTCGCCCAGGAAATACCTCCTTTTTCTGCTAGTTGGTGAAAGGAGCGTAGCGAAATTTGCATGGTCAGACGGAAGAGCGGGCCTGATGGCCCAAGTCTCGCCACGTAAAATAAGGCAAATTCAATTCAATCATTAGGGACCAGGTGTCAATGCAAATGCACATGTTACTCCTCTAGTCAGGAATTAAGTCCACTTGCTATATGCATGAAACACCCAATTCCCAGTTATTTAAACATGATTTTGATGGTAACGGTTACCTAATCTGAATAAAACCTGACTTTGTTTAACATTTTGAACCTAGTTGGTGAATTTTTAAAAATCTAGGGTCCAGTTTTGCTGAAAATACTTAATAAACAATCATTTAGCGATTTAATAAATAATTGTCAATATTAAAACACTGGTATGTGGATGTATAGTCGCAAACATCATCTGGCAAACTAATCGTAATGTTTGTAACTATATTTATTTTCATGTATTAAACCTTGTATGAGTATATTTTGTATATGCTGCATATAAAGGGAATGCTCCGGTATAAATAAATTGTCAAAAAAATACTGTAGGGTCTGTTTTTATTAAAATCCGGAAACTATTAGAGTTAAATAAACATGATAAGACTTACCTAATTAGATAAATTCCTTAAACATGATTTTATTAGTTTACCTTGCAAGTTTTACTTGTTTTCTTAGTAAGCATCACATTTCTGTAAATTGCTAATTCTGCATATTTGCTTGAAAAAAATTGTTGTTCGCCCATTTACGGTATTTTTTTAACAAATTTCTTTTCTCTTTTTAACTCAACAATGTGTTCTATGTATGTGGTTCATTGTAGCTAATTTCAATTTCCTGCATTTGAATTGCATGTAATATTTAATAGGAAAATCAAGGACTTTTCTAGGATTATGTGCTTTTGTGTTCATCTTGTAAATCAGTAATGGTGATGAACTAAAGCAAGTGAATTTAATATCCAAAAGTAACTGAGGGGGCATGTGACTGAAACGGGATGTTAAAGTGACTGCGAAGGGGATTTCGGAATTGTTTTCAAATGTAGTTCTTAAACTAATCATTAAATGTATATCTAGAAACATTCCATCTTGGAAACTAATTATACCAAAACTACTGTTCAAAATGATAGAGAGCAGTATAGTAAAAGTGAAGTACCAGATCAATGTGTTCTGTGTAAAAATTATGAGAAACAATGTTTCAATGGGTTAATGTACTTTACAGGGCATATTTTCAAAGATTTTACTGCATAAATATTTCATACAGATTTAGTGCACATAAATTTGGCCTTAAATAATCATTGTAATAAACTGCATGTTCACAGCCTTATTAATGTTAATTACATCTGTAGGCATGGTTTGTTTGTCCAGCTTACCTTCTTTATCCATTTTCTTTGTGGTCACCCAACATCTCCTCATTCTATTGACTTGCTATTTACATCTCAGCATTACCTTTGGGAGTCTTTTCCTTCTTTGTGGTGCTCTGGGATAACCATGTCTTTATTTCTACTACATTTTTTATAGCCTTTTTCTGATGTCAATTTCTTTCTTAAAACTTGAACTTTGTTTCTTAACTTTATTGTCGTATTTCTTCCAAAATGCCTTTTGTTTATTCCATTGGTTTTGTTGTATGTTTAGATTTTGTTTTGTAGCCTCCATGTAAAAAGTGTTGAAACTAATTGGGGCTGCCATAATTGTTTCATTGGTTGTATTATTATTAGTTCACATTATACTTTTTTAGTTGTTCTGATTTCTATTGTGTGTAGTAAAAACCAATTCCAAAAAATCTTTAGCGAGAATATATCCTGAATCTATGAGTATTTTAATTTTTTACCTATATATGTTTTTTAATCTAAAATAGAATAGGAGCTCTAGCATGTAGCCTAATATCTGATAGGACATTGCAGTAAAAGCATATTGGTTATTTTCTGTTCTCAGGTGGTGGTGGTGGTGGCGGTGGAGGCCGAGGAGGATTTGGTGGAGGCGGAGGAGGTGGTGGTCGAGGAGGAGGAGGTGGTTATGGTGGAGGAGGTGGGGAAAGGGGTGGCCGGGTTCAGGGAGGTTGGAACACTGGCAATCCAGGAGGGGGCGGTGGATATGGGGGAGGCGGAGGTGGTTATGGAGGAGGCGGAGGAGGATATGGTGGAGGAGGAGGTGGCGGCGGCGGAGGCTACGGAGGAGGACATCAAGGGGGCGGAGGAGGCGGTGGCGGCTATGGAGGAGGCGGAGGAGGATACAGGGGACGGGGTGGAGGAAGGGGAAGGGGAGGAGGAGGTGGGTGGTCCCGAGGAGGAGGGGGCGGCGGAGGGTACCAAGATAGTTATCGATAGTTAACTAATGCAAACAACGCTGCTCCCGGAATTTCAACTGGTAATTAAATTACTGTGCATTCTTTGGAAAGATCATTAATGTTCTTTGGTTTTCAATGCATTGTTTTTGAACTTTCATTTTGAGTTGATAACAGTTTCTTTCCGTGGTTACGTAAGGTTCTGATCCAATTTAGTTTCCAAATTTTAAATTTTTCACGTAACCTTTGATATGATTTTTCTGTATTGCATATAAAAATATTAAACAACACATACAATCCTGAATAATTTTCATAAAGGAGATTTTTCGTGCTTATTTATTTCATAATTTATTGCATTTTCTGATATTATTTTTACTGTGACATATTTAGAATAAAATAGATTTGTGTTGTACCGATAGTGATAATGTGAATGTCTCCAAAATCACTTATAATTATAAAAAACTTCTGTTGATTGAGTTGTATGTTAGTTGATGTTCAGTGTAACAGCATCACCATTATTGACCTTTTGATTTCTTTATAATTTATAAAACTTTGAGCTGAAGAGCATCAACAATAAACTGAAGATTTTCTGTAACAAATAATTTGTATTTTTATTGAACAAAAACATGTTGGGGATCAAGTGGTTGACGGCACATCCTGCATCTAGGGCACTGGGCCCTTTCTCCTACTAACACAGCATTATGAACAAGGTAATGCTTAAAAACACACAGGGAAAAGAATTGCAGATAATAGAAAAAGCATGTAATTGATCATTACTCTCTATTCAATGGCCTCCTTTATTGATTTCACTGAGTCACTACTAGAGAGCTGTGCAATGCATTCTAAGAGGTGTTCAGTAGCGCATAGCAAACATGTAAGTATGTATTGCTGGTCAATGCTGTATAACAGAATTCCATTGCCCATCACCAATGGGCTGGTGGTTGCAATTGGGTAATGTTGCAAGACTGAATGCTGCCCTAGGCTTGAAGGTGTACCCCTTATCTTTGGTTTAGATCCTTGCTTTCTCCTGACCTGTTTCAAGAAGTCTACAATTACATTCATATGTAGTGTTTGATGTGAAATATGCCCAATGGGTTGTAAAGAGTATCAGGTTTCATGTGGAAGTAAGTCTGCAAGTACTACTATTACTCAAGAGATAATGTGAATTTGCAGTGAGGGTGGGTATCTCTTCAATTTGCATTTCCAGACTCTATGAGCAAGTTGTCATGGACATCCAAAACTCGTATCAGTAGCTCAATTTTAGAGGTTCATCCTACAATCAAGGGCAAATAGATTATGTTGTGGTATTTCACAAACAGCTGTAAGTTATTTTTTCCAGTTGACTCCCACGCCAACTTCTGGCCATGTAGAATACAATTTTTCTTTCAAGATCCTAGTTCACACAAAATAGAAACAGCTGTATAATCAAATAAATTCGCATTTACTTCAACCATACATCCACTTCAGATGGATCTGAGAACAATTTTTATTCATGATCTCAGAAGGGGCTCAGTCATTCTGTACCCAAACTACTACCCAAATCATTTTGTTGCTAGGCAATGAGTCAGAAACAGTCAATGACAAGTATCTGTGTTATATTTGTATTCTTTCTGTCTAAAACAAACAAAAAACAAAATTCAGTTTCGAACATAGATTCCTAAGCACTATCACAAAAGCTCCCTGGTGTATTCCAAATACACAGTTTTATAATGAACTTGGCATTACACCATCCATAAAATTATATTCTGAAATATTACAGATTCCTTCAGCCGTTCACTTTCACCCATGTAAGTAGTATTCCCATGGCAAAAGTTTCAAAGGAAAGTTACCGAAAGAATTTTTCGACCTCCCCATAGATATAAACCAATGTCTCTTTTCTCATTTATCAGCTATGTAACTCCAATATTGAATTGAATCTTAAATTAGAATTTTATTTACTATATATAGACACACCCACATACCATATGATATCTTCTAAATATTCTATATCTACTTTAGTGAAACGCCATTAGGAAAATTGGCATTAGCTCTTTAATGGCCCTGGATGTATGTTATGCTTTCAACTTTGGTTTCCTGGTCTTCTTTCATCTTTCTCTGACCTTTCATGTATCTCCTGCTTTTACTTACAGATGTGGTTTATTTTTTAGCTACTTGATGTTTCCTTGTCACACACAGTCACTCCTTGCAACATGTTTGTACCAGTTTGATGCACATCCTTTCAAATATTCGGGACGTGACATGCACGTGCATTCGTAAAAGCACAAATAAAATACTATTAAACTTAAAGACAAGCAGTTATAAACTTTGAAAAGTATACATCTCAAAGCACAAAAAGCAATGACAAACAAAAATTCAAATATTTAATGGGAAAATGTCATTTTTAGGTAGACCTTAAAGGCCTTGTTTGCATGATAAAAATCAGTTTCAGACATATTAGTTCCATCAAATTATTATGTAACTGAAACAAGTTTACTGTTAGTTTGCTCAAGTGATTCAACCTCATGACCAAAGCAGTGAGGGTAGAATTTAGCACTTTAAATTTTAAAATTTGCATTTTGAAAACATGGCTATAGCATTATAAAAATTAAGATTTAGGATTTTGTAGCATTTGTTGAGAAAATTAGGGAGGACTTTTGGAAATAAAAAAATGTAGATGCTTTTTAGATTTTCCCATTCAGATCAGGAAAAAAGATAAACTAATTTAATATTTCGCCATTTGTAAACATGATCTCTGTCTAATTAAATCGATCAATGTTGCATCCCTAATTAAAGAAGAGAACCATAAAATTCAATTTAGCAGTGTTACATTGCTGATTCACATCCATTTCGCATTTTGGAATCAATTTAGCATTTTAATGTAGATTGAACGCATTTAGAAACAAGTGTTTAGCAATTGCTAAAATTACCATCACTACTCCTGGGCTTCAGGAAGATTCGCGAGCACAACGCTCTGGCTTCCTTTACCCCCTGGTACTCACTTGGCAAGGAGGCCGAATCCCAACCTACACCAGAATTCAATCTTGGGTCCTTCAGTTCAGGAAGCCACTGCCCCACCACTGAGCCATCCCACAGAACTAAGGTAACCTATGTGATATTCCAAGGATCTCTCCACTAGGAAGAGTCTTCAGAGGGATAGTGTGTACTGTGCAAGGTTCTGGTAATTATTTAAAGTGCCGATTCATAGCAGCTGGGAAGCCAAGGAAAATTGAAAAACGAGCCCAGACCCAAGAGAATATGAAAGTAACTAGTGCAATAGTCTGTGCCATTCTTTAGCACCACTAGCTTCAATTCTGTGAGGAATTATCTATGTTAAGTTCAAGCATTTTCTACTTTTGTCTTTTTAAAATGATCATAAATAAGAATTGGCTTTAAAGAATAAACACATTTGAATACCACCTTAAATTGTCTTCCTTCACTTTCATCTTGTCTATGAAAAATGTAATTTTTACAAATATAAACAATACATATTCAAAAATCTAAATGCATTTACTACACATTTGTTCAATGAAATCCTATAGTTATATTGAAAAGATATCAGGAAAAAAAGTAAGTTTTGTCAGAGAATTTCATTTCTTGGAGTTGGTGAGAGGACTACATTACTACTTTCAAAGATTTAGTTCAAAATATACCAGAGACCTTTTCGGCTGAAAGTAATATCCTTGTTCATTATCAGATCACTGTGGCAGCAGGCCTGCCATGTCTTATAGTATCTGATTCTATGGAGCATATTCTGATTTAATTGTAGTGACTTCCAACTTTTGATCAGCTGTGACATGATTATCCAATCGGTAATTTCAGAACTAAAAATAAAATAGTAACGAAGCATCCAGAAGATCCATTAGATAATTCCATCCACATGATCAATCATCATAAGTCACTACAATTAAATCTGAGTATAAAAGATGTTCTGGTCTCCTTAGAACATGCTTTAAGCCTAATTCTTGATCAGCCTAACAATGTGAACCTTTTTTTAAATTTAATCAACCTCAAATTTATTGAAGTTTCTCTAGGAAAATTTTAGTATGAAAAAGTTTAACACTGAAACCATAGAACACATATCATATTATCTATTAATCTCTGTCAATGATACAAATTCATACCTCCAAGAAAATCATCCAATTACTCATTCATCTTCAATTGCATTCACTGATTGCCTCAAAGAGGTGATATGAAAGCTTTAAACAAAGCCTTTATTGGGCAAGATCTTTTTGAAAGCAAAACCAGGTAAATAAGCAAAAATTCTTATTTGCTTTTTCTCTAATTTGGTTAATCCATTAATTTACAGGACAGAAGGAAATGCAAATCAATAAGAACATGTAACATTTAATATGTAAATTTTTATACAAGTTTTCACAATTACATTGACATGGTAATTTTATAATAACATGAATATAAATTTTGTAAGAACTAACAAATACTATGAGAAGGCACAAACTAGGTTAAATTACAAAAGTTACTCTTTAGTAATCTTACTATAACCATTAGAAGGCAACTCCAAACAATGTAATTCTCGTTTCTGTTCTTGACGGATAATGTTTTTCATCATGAAGTCTCTTGTAATTTCACTTTAGGGGAAGAATTTGAAAAAACTACCTTAAACAACAAAGACCATGGCTCTAAGGCACAAAATACTTCAAATTACGAAAGTTGCTCAATAAAAAGCATGTATTGTGTGCTAAATATTGTTATACCAGAAATATAAATTTTTAATTCACAATTCTAACAAAATAATTTAGTTTTTTCTTCTTAAATGTTTCCCTGACACAACTGACTGCCGAGAAACAGATTTCTTCATGCGAGAAGATTGAAAGCCTTTGGGAACAGGTGTGCCTTTATGTACATTAATACCAGACTTTCTTTTCTTTTCCATTTCTTTGAGTTCCTTTTGATCATCATTTTCATCAGACTCATAAGAGTATTGTCCAGAACTTAATTTATTTGTTGGAGATATTTTAATTGATTTGTTTATTTGGATTGTTTGTAGGGGTTGATTTTTCATGAAATGAAGTAACCGAGTTTGGCGGTACTTATGCAAATTAATTTGTGAAGAATTAGTTTGCAAAGAGTCACTGTTTAGTTTCTTTTCTGTATTCATTGTTCTTTTTTGTCTTGTATTTGGTGGCACAAAAGGGGTAGATTCAGCTACTGGATGTACATTTCTATTCTCATCACTCAGACTTTGAACGTTTGTGTCTGATCCCGTAATAGTGGACAGATCATCCAGATCGATATCACTCAATTGCTGTACTGGGGAAGTATTGTCTCTTCGAAGAGGGGTACTACTCTTCTGGGAAAAAAATGGCCTTTGTTGGAGTTTTCTTATCTTTTGATCTGGTGTGTGTTCAGGAATTCTGGGTATCTTTATTGCAACATTCGTTGTTGGCATTTGTTGGGTACGAATTGGAACCTGTTTGGAAGAAGAGCTTTTGAGTCTGAATTCAACACCATCCTCACCTGATAACTTTTTATCTCGTAGTAATGCATGTCTAGGAGAGGCACTCTTTGGCCTGAATTCAACTTTCTTCTCAGCCACCTTTTGTGTGCGAGTTGAGTTGCGCCTAGGAGAAGTGCTCTCCGGCATGTATTCATCATCATCATCATCTGAGAATTTTCGCACACGAATTGACTTGCTTCTAGAAGTTCCCATGGTTCTAGGTTCAACTTTCTCTCCTGGCATCTTTTGTAAGCGAGTTGGTACGTGCTTAGGAGAGGTATTTCTTGGCCTGGATTCAACTTCCTCAGACACTTTTTGTGTGCGAGTAGAATTACGCCTTGGAGGGGAACTCTCTGGCATGGATTCATCATCATCGTCTGAGAATATTTGCATACGATTTGATGTGCGCCTGGGAGAGCCTCTCACAATTCTAGATTCAATTTTCCGCTTTGGCACTTTTTGTGTGCGAGGAGATATACGCCTTGGAGAGGTGCTCTTTGGCATAGATTCATCATCTGAGAATTTTCGCATACGAATTGACTTGTTTCTAGAAGTTTCCAAGGTTCTGGGTTCAACTTTCTCTCCTAGCACCTTTTGTGTGCGAGTTGGTACATACTTAGGAGAGGTATTTATTGGCCTGGATTCAACTTCCTCAGACACCTTCTGTGTGCGAGTAGAATTACGCCTTGGAGGGGAACTCTCAGATATGAATTTATCATCATCTGAGAATGCTTGTGCATGAATCGATTTGCGTCTAGGAGAGGTTCTCATGGTTCTAGATTGAACTTCCTCCTTTGGCATCTTTTGTGTGTGATTTGGCAAATGCTTAGGAGAGATGGATTCAACACTATCCTCAGAAAATTTAGGAGTTCGGCGTGAACTGTGTCTGGAAGATAAACTCTCAGGCGTTACTAAGGATTTAGATTCATAAACTCTTTGTTCTTGGGTCTTCTGAGAAGTCACTTTGTCTTTACCATTTTTATTGTCCTGTATCGTTGCATGGAACTGTAATGTCCCTTGCTTTAATTGTTTTGGTATGCTGTCTCGAGGCTGAGGTTTTACATGTCTTGCAAATCCCAATGCCTCCACCAAATTCAAAGTTAAAAAGTCTGAACAATAAGAATCTAGACGAGATTTGTCTTCTTGATTTATATGTTCCTTTTCATATGTTGTACTTGTAGGCAGATGTGCATCAATAGCATATTTCAAAATAAATGACATCTTCTCCGTCTCAGATGAAAGGTTCAATACATCAGACTGGAAAATAATTTCTAAAAGAGTAATATCAGAGGATGTAAATATATCGATATCTAAACTTTCATTGGCACAGTAATACTTTAACTCTTCAGTTTGTTTCCTCCGATGAAGTAGAGCACAACTGCATGCACGAACAAACTTCAAAAAAATTGACAAATCAGACGTGTCTTTCATAGGAACTTTTTGAATAATTGTTTTAACATTTAACCCTTCAGGTAAGTTGTACTTTGAAAGACAAAAGCCTCCACCTTCAACTTCATCTATTTGTATTTGATATCCCGAGTAAATATGAGGTCCCACACCAAATTGCAATTCAAACCGCATTTGTCCACTATTAACATCTACACATTTGATACCACCAGCAATTAAACATAACTCAAGTTTGGCACGGTAAGAAGCTATATCCACACAGGCAAAATTGTTCTTTGGCTGATCCACGTTGGCAAAGCTTTCAAACTCTTTAAAAGTTGCTGAGCAAGGAATCTTTAGTTTAGTTTCTAGTCTGTGTTTTAACTTCACCAACGCTCGACGCATTTTCTTAGCTTTTTCTACTTCTCTTGTTAACGCTTGGATCTCGTTTTCATCATCACTTCCTTCAGCCATGATATAAAATTAATTTACGGTATTTGTTCAACAAAACACGAAAAACAAATGTCACTGTCAAAGGAAAATGTGTCACATTCTCGCTTTCCACTTACATCACAACCATATTATACTCTTCGATCACACCAAAGCAGTATAACACAAATGCTGTTATTAATTTAGTTTCTCAAATCTGTCTGTAATTTGTCCCAACAGCGTTCTAATCAGTTCTAATACAAGCACTATATAATATATACTTTCTGTACAGCAATTCCCGCGGTTTGTCGTCATCAGTCGTCATATAGGGACTAGGGACGTTCCGATTCGATTCCGAAATCGATCCTTTGCTTCCGATTCTTAATGGATTTCAAAAGGCTGGAATCGAATCAAACAAGGGACACCTCGAACGTTAAAGCACTATCGATCTTCTGCGCATGCGTAATATACTCTCTGATGCGTACTTTCACACCACTTTAGTGTACTCGTATCTGTGCATGCACAGAAGATACTCTCGAATCGATAGTGCTTTCCGTTCGAGATGGCATAAACTCCCTTTTTTTGCGTCTGAATTGACGCAACGTGTCTATAAGCCCCGTGGCGGGGGAGGGGAGGGCGTTGAGCGCTTTGCGCTTGGGAATAATCCTCCATTAATAATTGCGCTAAATTTATAGGAGTAAACCTGCATGAACATTATCGGTTATTTAATGTCATGTCTCGTCGCAGTCATTTATCGAGAGGACCGTCGGGTATAAATAACATCTCCACGTACGCGCCTCCTACTACGCGCTCCTGCGTCATTACCCAGCGGACAAAATTGGGAAGGAATTAGGATAAAGGTAGGGTTAAGGACACTTCACAGGGGTTGGACTAGTCCCTGTGAAGCATGCAAACTCGTTTTGTCGTAACAAATTTCACGTGGGGTTCCACGAGGATTCTACGGGAATCGAACCCGGAACCTCAGCGGTGAAAGGCAAGCATTCACTGCGCATCCTTGGCATACACTGTGCATGTCTATGCAATCAAATGAATATCTTCGATTTAAAAAACCAACAAATAAACATATTCCTGCGCCTTTGTTGTAGTTTTCATTTTTTGTCGTTTGCCCTTATTAATGTAGTTATTACTTTATTATTAATTTTATAGAAGACCATGTCGTGTTTGAATTCCACCATGCCTCCACCTTCCGCTTCGTTCAAACCAAATCTCTTGGTTCAAATTACATTTTTGGCATCTCAAAAAAAAAAAAAATCATTTCATTGATACATTCTTTTACTTTATTACAATTGTACTATTTCATTACTACTATACATTTTTGACACGTAGTTTATTATTATTATTATTATTATTATTATTATTATTATTATTATTATTATTATTATTATTATTAAAATTTAATTAATTAACATTGGTTGTGTTTTATTATATAGTAATTGCTCGATTCCGGTATTACCTATACCCGCGTTGAACGGTGTTTAGGAGATTGTGTCAGCCTTAGCGTGAAGCAATCGCCTGCATTTTTGTCTCTAGGGAGCAGAAAACTAGGGAGTTTGTGCCACCTCGAACGTTAAAGCAATCTAAAGCACTAACAATCGACGCCCCTACCTGGGACACAGAGCACCCACACATTCTTTATATATCAATGCTCTGGGGGAATCAAAGGTATATATGCTGGAGATAGCTCTTTAGATGATGGATGATCACAATTTGAATGACAAAAGGGCACGCAATAGCCTATTAGTTGATTGAATGTAGGTTACATTCAGCGTATTTGGCCCCGTTTCGCACGCTTGTTATCACTAAATTCTGACAATGTTTATTCTAATTTTCGCCAAGGGATAAATAAATTGTCCAATTTAAAGTTAGTGACATCATCAGTCGGACGCAGTTATCCAATCGACAGTTCCTTACGACTGATTTTAGGTATCAAAGCTCGCGATTGTCACCATGCTTAAATTGGACAATATCAAGTCCTATAATTGTTTGATATGATGTATAATAATATAATAATTATCCTAATATTATCAATATGTGATAATTACATGCACTCAAAATCAATTAATTAAACTTGTTCAAAGAGAAGACAAACAAAAGAGTGGCTAAAGCAAAGAGTGTTTACTATTGGCTACAGCGTTTCAAACATGGCGCTGTCCACAGGTAAAAAGCGTGCTTGTGATTAGTTATTATATAAATAATTAAATGGTATTTTATTAAGGACATATTTCAGTATTGTCATGGTCATAAAGTTGTCAAATTTTACTGTGAAAATATTTGTAATATTTTCGTTACGTAACAATGTATGGTTATCTTGACAGAGCTATTGAAGAAATTTACTCTAGAAGATGTGCCAATATCAGAAAAGTTAATCGCTGCTAAAATTTTGTTCATTCGTTCGGAGTTTTGTTATGTCAGTAGAAAAGAAGAAGCTATATTGGAGTGGCTTCTTGAATTGTGCAACCATGATGTTTCAAGTGATATTTTAAATGAAGTATGGCACACACTACAAAATTGCCTTGAGAGTGAAACTATGAATCATATTAAAGTTGTTGACATTAATTCTGAAACTAAAGAAAACCTTGTTAAGGTGAGTAAGAAGCCATTGTCTTAATTGCACCCACTTCACTTTTCTATTAAAGTAATATATGATAACAAAGTCTTTAACATGTGACACTGGACTGTGCATATGTTTGTCAGGTTACCTGCAGTTGTATGTAAATATCATCATTTTTCAATCATATATTTGTAGATTACGGGTTATTGCATGACATGCAAGTTAAATCTGCTTCTAAAAGATTGTGTATTATGACCTTATCTAGGCAGAGTTGAAAACACTTGTTTAATGTCAGTCAATTCAGGTTGATTTAGAAATTTGATTTTTTTATTAGTATTCTGAATGTGGATCTGCACTGTGTAATGTGAGAAAAGTGCTTTGGAGTTAAAATATTTCTAGAGGTCTTTCTCAATATGAGTTATAAGTAATTTTTTCAATCAATAAGAATTATTTATATTTTTGAAAAAATGTATACATAGTTTGGATGTCGTAGGTAAATTATGTGGGATATGTGTGTATTTTTGGGGGCGAGGAAATATTATCTATTGAACTGAAGACATCTCCCACTGCTGCACACTAATGGCATAATTTGTCTGGGCATGCACTGAACAAGTTTTTTTTTTTTTTTGCATAATTTGGAGATATTGCCAGTAACTGGCAAGTGGTGACTGGCAACATATAAATGCCTTGTTGCAAGTGACTGGTAAGACCTTCTCGCCAGTCTCTGGCTATGCCAACTGAAGAAGAATATTTGTTTTACTGGCATGTTCACACGCTCCTCCCCCCACTTTTTGAAACTGGCAAACCTCTGGACCCTAGAGCTGGTGATTCTCTCTCTGACCATAAGGTGCAACCCATGATTATACTTGCATGGTGATGCATGTAGTCAGTGTAAGCTTATTATAATAATTATTGATTACAATTACTGGGTAGCAGAAGACGTCCCAAATGACAGATGAACAAAATGTCAAGTTCGTCAGGTTATATGCAGAATCAGAAAATTAGGGACTTTTTTAACCAGAATATAAGAAGCATGAGACCAGGATCCACTTCTGGCAGTTGCATATGAAATGGGGAGTGATAACTTCTCCAAAGCAGATGTAGTGAATAATTTAAAAAGGTTAAGAATCATTTGTTTTGCACAGTGTTGTTCTCACGCTGTTGCCAAATATTATCAGCAGCGTGTTGCAAAGAGTGCACATCAGCTAAGAGCAGCGAGAAAAATATCTCATCTAGCGTCCCGTTGCAAGAACTGAGTAAAGAGCTATTACCAGTCGCACAGAGGGCCAGCGCTGTCTAGGTGCTAACAAACTTCAAACTGGCACACCAGTTTTGGCAACGTGTTAGCAAGCCTTAACTGAAAACTCTCTTACCCATTTACCATTGTAGTGGTAAGCAATATCTAATGAGGTAGTACATTACACATCAGGATACTTCAAGTGATTGTGGGAATTTGACATTAACATAGTAGATTAGCAAGTGATATCTTCATGATTCTTCTGTTTAAAAGTTAAAGAAAAAATGTAAATAACTTATTTTAAATAATTTCTAGGCAGACATTGCTTGATACTTTCTATTTGTCTGTAAGGAATAATTTATTATTTATTATTATTATTGTTTTATTTCCTTCTGCTTCCTACTTCATCTTCATGCTCTTAAGACTTACCATAAAACAAGGATATCTTTGAATCACAGACTAGACAAATTATTAGCAAAATGATATTTAAAAGGAAAAAAAAACAACCCTTTGTCTCAAAGCATTAGAAGTAAACTACAGAATTGGAAAAACTGCTTATTAATACTTGGTGTGAACACCTTTAGCATGAAGTAAAGCATTAATTTGTCTGGGCTTTCCTTGAATGACTGTTTTGCGTAATTCACAATTTCGTCATCTTCATTCCAAATAGTGCTGATGTACTCCACGAGTTGTTGCTTTGTTATAGGATGTTTTACCTTCACTTTCATTTTAAGAACACTTCATAGTGATTCTACTGGGTTCATATCCGGACTATTTCCTGGCCAGTTGAGCTCAAAAACATCACTGGAATCCAATTCGCTCTTCACAGTTTTTGATTGGTGGCAAGGAGCGCTCTTGTGTATGAATATTCCATCCCCAGTTGAAAACCACTCATTCATTGTTGGAACTAGACAGTCCCTGAATTGTTCCCTATTCACATCGCCTTCTACTACATGAATTTTACCCGGTTCATAGATTTAAATAACCCCACAAATTATCACTTTCATGGGAAACTTCACTACTTGCATAAGTAAAGGCTTCTTGTGACCATCTTCTAATGTATTGGGGGCTATCATCCATAACACAGATGATGGTTTAATCACTGAATATAACATGAATCAAATTTAGTAAAAAAAAATTAATTATCCGCACATTTAAACAGTACATGTACTTCCTTATTTCTGCCACAGAAGTTCTAAAATCGGTAGAGAATAAAATTTTATTTATGAATTATATAAATTGCCCTACATACCTTCTCCCACTGCTGTGTTGTCCATCCTTATAACTTGGCTCGTTTAAGTTGTTTCTAGATCATGGAAGCAGTCAAATTTTGTTTATTGCGGAATCATTGTGGTCTTTAAGCCACTTTCAAACAGATTGTGAGGAAATTTGTCATCTTTATGAATGCTTTTCTTAGCAAAAGATGGACCTAAACTTTGATTGTAGTTCTCTTTCATCCACTTTTTCTAAGGTGTGTTGCGCTTTTCGTCCGTTAAATTTTTCACATAAGCCACACTAACTCCTACAATATAACTAATTCCAGTCATGGTATTATTACAGGATGATAGTAATACTTCACCTCTGGCATGTTTTCGTCGAGTCCTCTTTTACTGATGGGGTGGGTTTGGGACGGGATCTTGATCTGGAATCGGTGGATCTGGTGGATTGGTGAATTGCATTGCAAACGAGCAAGCACAGAGAAAAAAATTACGATACCAAAGGCACCCCCTAAGAAAATTATTCATTAAATTTTTCTGGTTTTTACTACCTACTTGTATTCCCAATTTTTACTACATTTTTGCTACTTGATAACACACATACATCTCAACTGGAGTCAACAACACTAAATACAATAATCTAATGCAATGTATAGATTACAACCACTTGTCTTCTTGTTTTAATTTATAATGTAATAATGTTCAAACCTGTGATATTAAAATCAAAAGTTCCTCCTCAAGTAGAATTGTTATTAAATTCCTATTTATACGTTCACTTGATTCGTCTATAACTGAAGGAATATTAATTGTATTCGACTTTTTTGCCATATGCATGTGCACATACCACCTTCCTATAAACATAGTATTTTTGCTTTCATCTTTTTGTTAGTAATGTTATGAAATGAAATACTGTGTAACAAATTTACCTAATGTTTCTCTGGAACAGATTGTAAAAATGTAACCAATCAATTTATTAAAAAAATACTTCTTTTATAACTGCTTTTAACCTTGATTTGCATGTATTGTTTTTGCATTTTAAATTATTTTATATATTACATTGTTATTCTGTTTCAGCTTCTCATTCGATCACTAGATTCTCAAGTGCATGGACTACCTTCCAAGAAAAACCCAAGATCGTGCAATATGAGAGAAGAGAGTCTTCCCAGAGAGTGTTCTGTTCTGATTTTGGAGAACACCGTTTTTTTATACTATTTCCAAAAAAATCTAGACAGTTATGTCAGTTTGAGCCAACTTCTTTTAAAGTCAGCTGAAGAGAGTGGAGATGTAAAAGTATTTAGCAGATATATGAAATCTGTTGTTAGTTTTTGTGATCAATGTCAAAATTCAAATAAAATTTTTATTCAAAAGTTACTACTTCCAATTGTGGAAACTTTCTGTTCAATGAAGAAAATGATGAATCCCATTTCATCTTGTGATCATAAATTGAAAGTAGACATCCCAAGTATTGACAATACTGCTAAACACATTGAAGAAGATACTTTAAAATCTCAATTGTTAAATTTAATACAGCGGGTAATTTTTCCAAGTTTTGTACAAAAGAATCTGAAGAATGGACTTGAACATTTATTTGAAAAAAAAATTCAAGATTCATCTGTTCTACACATTTTGATTCAGTTTTTGGTGAAAAATGTGTCATGTCAGGAAGAGGTGTTATCTATTTTATATGCTTGTGTGTTTGAAGCATTTGTTATTGTGTTCAAAAATGATTTTAATGTTATCTTCCGCTTCTTTATCATATTATGTGCACTTCTAGGATTGGAAATTAAAATTATAAAGGATGAAGAAAACAAAGAAATGTGTTTGTTGTCTAAAGATGATGTTTCTGAGGCACTGGCTAAGAAAATGCCAGTTCCTGAAGTACAAGTGTTGTTATTAGTTTTAAAAGAGATTATTGCTGTACTGAAGAATGCAGATTTACATTTGGATGAAACTATAAATGAAATTTCATTTATGAAATGGTTCCAAGGTCTTGTGATTCAGTTAAGTGCCTCGTTTGGAACGCTCCCAGAAGTATACAGTATTATGACTATTATCATTGAACTTAGTCCACTTATTTTTGCACCTATAATCAACAGAGTACTGATAAATGAGTTTGTGAAACATAAAACAACTCAAGAAGAAAAGAAACAGTATAAAATATTTTTTCTTGCTATGTTCAACTCGCTTCTTAAGATTCATCCATTGCAGAGTTTTATCCGTAATAATTTACTTCCAAGTTTGAAGCAAGCTATTGAAGAAAGAAGACTCAAAGAATCTGCCATTATAGATATGACAATTTCTGACATTCTTCCTGATGGATTTATCACTGCATACAGTAAAGTTGTGGAAACAATCTCTGGTCATTTGTGGTGCGTATCATTGGTTCGAGGCTTCACTGCTATGTTGACTCAATTTGTGGTCATTCCAATGGAAGAAGAAACTTTTGGTAAGCTTCCTTTTTCTTCTTCTTCTTGCGGCAGCGATGGTGTAATACCTAGCCTATCAGACTTTTAAACCCAAGTTGGCAGGTTCAAAACTGATCGAAGCCGTTAATTTTTAAGGACGAGAAAATCATTCGTACGCCTTCCGTCAGAGGGGAGGTAAAGCCGGCTGTCCCATGTTTGTTGATTTACTTGCATGTAAAAGATCCTCAAGCCCAAATGACGCCTCTGAGCAAAATTCAAATCGCCTGTTTCGTTGCCCAAGAAATAACTCGTTTCTCCGCTAGTTGGTGAAAGGAGCGTAGCGAAATTTGCGTGGTCTGACAGAAGAGCGGACCTGATGGGCCGAGTCTCGCCATGTAAAATAAGGCATTAATTCAATTCAATACTTTTTTGCATGTGCTTGCTTTCCCTCCTCACTCCTCTTTCTGTGTTCTACAAACAGGGAGTAGTGATGAAATGGGAATTTCCTGTACAAATGTATTTCAGAAATGACATTAATTTAATTTTCATATTTCATAATAATGCATCCTGCATATTGATCATAATTTACGCATCATGTTCATATTTTTATATATAAATGAATTTTATGCAAAGTTATGTTTATGAAAAATGACATAAAAGTGTGAAATGTTCGAACAGCTATTTCAATACACTTAACTAATGGTTAAAAGCTCTTATTCGACTCTTCATAAAATCAGTCAACCTTGAAGAATAAAATATTTGTATGTAATGTTTATTGCTGATTCACTCTGAATGTAATTGGATTTGATTCAAACATGTGTAGCATGCCACACATAGAAAGACATTCTTATTAAATAACTAGAGAAATAAAGAAATAGAGATAGCTGAAAAAAATATTTTTCCTCCCATAACATGAGTTTGGGTTCTTCCGCTTTTTAAATTCAGGTGTGTTTGACTGTTCTTCTTTTGTGTTTTGTGTAACTTCTGCATGTTTTTGTGAAAATATTTCCCAGAAGTATTTTGACATCAAATGTGAATTCAGCAAAAACTCAGATATCATACTCGGGTTGAATTTATACTGACAAGAAGGTTTTATCTAGAAGCTCTAAAATTGTGTTGTTATTGTTGTTTTTCTCGCAATATTTCATCATTTAGAAATCAAGCCCAATATATTCAGAATGTTCTGTGAATATAGCTCAATTTTGCTAAACTCGTGCATTTGAATTATGGTTAGAATGAAAAAATATTTAATTACGTCAAAATACCACAGGGTGGCTACTTTTGCAAAAACCACGAAAAATCTGGGAATTTTTATTCCCCTGGGAAAATTAGGGAATTTGTGGAAGAAACGTTAGAAGTCAGGGAAAATTTGGAGATGGTTATATAATTATTTTTGTTCCTAAAATAAATAGCGCAACATTATTTTTTTTCTGAATTTCTATTTGTTGAGCTTTTTAGTTTGTAGATTGTTAAGGCAAAATTAGAAAGCTGACAAATTAGTTTATAGTTTGCTTTAATATTTTCTTTAAATAATGTGAAATACTTTACAAATCTTATCAGTGCAAAATTTTCAATATGCTTTGGAAAACTGGGAGTCGTAGAAATTTGTTTCGGGCAATGAGTGGCCACCCTGTACCATGAACTTTAAGTAACTGTATTTTGCAGGTTGAATAGCCACCTTTTTAATTCATTAAATTGTGTTACCCAATTATTTATTTTGTAGATGGAGGCCATCGGTTATTCCTAGAGGTGTTAGAGAATTTACTTGTTCCCTTTCTTGGAGGAATTAGAGTGGCAGAACAGACTGTCCTTAAAGAAACTTATGCAAAGTTTTTGACTAATTTTCTGGAGTTACAAACTTGTCTTGGAAGATTTTGTACTGCTCTTCTTCATTATAAGCATGTATGTTATTGCAGTATTTGTTTTAGTAAACAAATGTACTCTTCACTTGTTTTTTGTAATTAACATATTGTGTGAGAATTTTGTTTGAGTTTATAATTTTGATTTTTGTGTATTCAGTGCTCAAAATCTTTGGCATCATTTCTCCACCTTTGTTTTGCTGTGGGAGAATTGAGGTTACTATTACTTCTCTACAGTCCTTGGAGTAAGCAAGACGAACATTTGCAAATTGAATCATCTGCCAATCTTGGCAGTGACGCAGAACAAATGCACCTGCTGTCTTTTCTTTCTTTTCAGCAGTGGAATGACATTCGACAGAGAGCTGTTGAACTTGGTGATGAAGCTTGTCAGAAATCATTGGTAAGTAATAAACCAAAAAATTGTTGTGCTTTCCCTCTATTGTTGTGTGTTTCCTGATTGTAATTTCATTTTTCATTTTTTCCTTATTTTCCCTTCATTAACTTTCATAATACAAATACAGTAGAACTTAGCAAATCTGAACCCAGGTAATTCGAAATTTCAGATAAACCAAACAAAATTTGGGAAGGAGAAAAATTAATAAAATATTTATTTGTAGTGTAAAGAAAGAATTTTTTAATTATTGTAGAACTGAACAACTAATTATTGAAACACAAAATGAAACCTTTTTGGATTGGAACCGAAGTGTTCTCAAGAAATTCAAATTCACCCAAAAATTAATTTCTCACATCTCATTAATATCCAGTTGATTTAATTGATTTGATTTGAATTAACTGAATCTGCTATGGTGCGTTGTTGTGTATTGTATTTACGGAGCTCCGTTTACATCCCAGAAGATCCCTATTATTTTTTCAAAAGTTTATTTTTAAGATAACCTTCCATGGTTAGCTTTAAATTTAGTGTCCTTTTAGAGATTGACCTTTATTTATTATTATTATTATTATTATTGGTGTATAGGTCAATACGGGTCATTTTACACGATAAACATGGGTAATTTTTCCAGAATCAGCTTTTTACGACAAGGTTGTTACGCCTTGAAGTGTGAATTATGAAGTGATAGGATGATGTTGAGGGGTAACAAATACAATCATGTCTACACAGAGCTGGAATCTGCAGCCTCCTCGGTGCAGACGACTGCTGCTGCAAACATCTGCACCACGGGGCCAACTTGTTATTATTATTGTTGTTTTTATTATTATTATTATTATTATTATTATTATTATTATTATTTCTTTTTCAATTTTTCAATTATATCTTGTTCTTAATATTTCAGAATGCATTACTTCAGCAACAACTAAGGGTTCTTGTTGTATTTGAGAACTCAGTTGATGGGAGAAAAGAGGCACCTCATGCACTAAGTGAATTTTTAATTGAATCTCTGGAAGATATTCACCTCTTAAAGAATAGTAGTGATCTAGCCCTTTTGGTGCCACTGATTTCTCATGAAAAATTGGTCTGTTTTGCGAAAAATATAACAGTTCATCTCGTGAAAGAAGATAACAGAGAAATGCTTGATCTTCTAAAGAACCCAGTTGTGAGAGAAAATAAACCTCTGTTAATAACTTTGGTATGGAATATTACCCAGATGATTGGCCATGTACTGACAAAAAGAAAACGAACTTACAATTCTGAATGTCTGAAATCAAAGTGCAAATGTTTAATCAGAGATATGTGTGTTTGTATTAGATCTTCTGACCTTCTGCAATCAGAAAATAATACTGTCATACAGGAATATTTCTTAGAAGTAGGAAGAAAAATTAATGGAGCTGTGGAGGATTTCCTTCAAAACGCAGAAATGGAAAAGATATCATTCAATTCATCTAAATTGTTGAGGTATCTAGAACTTTTACGATGTCTGCCTTTGCCATTTTTACCTCAAGAAACTCAGACATTTGTAGCTTTGGGAGTATTGGGTGTTTATGTTGTTTTAAGTGAATTCTCAGTTGAGTGTAGTAATGAGATACAAAATCAAGCAGAAGAAGGCAGTTATGCTAGTCACAGTCAAATTATTTCAATCAAGAACTTGTGCAGAGAACTTTTGCTTGGTAAGAGATTTTAAAATTACCGTAATATTGCATGCATTATTCTTTCCAGCATTTATTGAATTTAATTTGTATTGGTAACAATACAATAAAATAAATTCAATAAATGATTTTACCATGTACAATTTCAATACCAATTGCTTCATTGGTATGTAGTGTAGTTGTAGTGTAGTAGTTGGTGAAGGTGATGATTCTGTCTTGTGTTATACAAATCTAAACTTGAATATGTATCCTTAAAAAAAATATGTTGACTTTAGTCCATGTAGCAAATTAGGCTTAAAAACAGCAAAAGAGGAAATAATTTATAAAGTAATGAAACTTATTGCACCCTTTGGGGGCACAATAATAAGAAACAGAAGACAGAAAACTTCTTTGGCTCAAGGGGGATATGCAATTTTCATAATTGTATGTAAAATGATTTCTTTTCAATGAAATATATTATAAAAAATACTTCTTTACAAATTGTCATTTACATGTGTTATGAGAAGTGTTTGTTCCTGCAAAAGATACTTTTGTTTATTTGTTTCCTAAAATAGGTAGAAAGTGCAAAATTTCATATTTTTGGAGAGTGAAATTGGTGATGCATCTCTCTGAGGGGAGAGAACTTTTCTGTTTTATATTACTACAGCCCCAAGGAGTGTTCTTACAAAGTTCAAACATTACTTCTCCCATTTTCATAATTTACCTGTGCTAATACCCATTATTTCCGTGTTGTGTTAAATACAGCTGATTCCCAAGCCCAGCCGACTTCTAAGAGTCCAACATTTTTGATTCTCTATGTCCAATATGATAAAATAAAATAGTAGATTATCCTCAGTGATTACAAGTTATGTTATTACAGATTTTCGGTAAAATACCCGAACACTATACATGCAAATTTTCAATGTCATAATGTAACCGTAAAATTAGTGTATTTTTTACTATTTGCTCTGTACATATTTATGTAAGTAATTTTTGCAAGTGTTTTTCCACTCCATTCTCTTTGCATTCTCCACACTTAAATCTACATTGTCTACACTTGCACTTTCCCTATACTGCGCAAGTAGTAGCGGGAAAGATTTAAATTTTTTTTAAATCTTTTAAACACTTCATCTGCTTTTCAAAAATATAATGAGTGTGTTTTGCAGGACTTTTGGATGGGCCATCTCCTGTATCTTTCTTGGGCCTGGTAGATATTGGTCTGGTGGTGCAGCTGATGCATCGGGATGGACAGTGTCCAAAGTTACTCCTAGAACTACTTTTTGAGGTACACATTAATACTTTTTTAATGTTATAAACACACATTTCTAGAATTTCTGTTATGAAGATTAACACGAGACTTTTGTACTTCTTTATAATAGGGATTCTATAAGATAAAGGGCCAGCAATCTTTTCATTCCCGTAAGGTTTTTATGAATGAATGAATGAATGAAAATCATAAATTGAAACAAATTTGATGATACATTGTACCAGTTTTGAAAATGTACTTTCAAGTGTACTTGCATTGTATGGGCAAAAACCTGTTGATGTAAATAAATTTTATAAGATGTTCCAAAATGGTTAATTATGATGTTTATTTTTAGGATTGTATTAAGAAACCTGAACATCTGCAGAAGGTGGTTGAAGCTGTTTGTGTTGTGGATGAGCATGTGATAACCCACGTCAACATCGACACTACTCCTATCAGCACTCTGCTCCTTCAATTGCTAAGAAAAGTAAGTGCTTTTCAGCTGATGCAAGTGGCCATGGCTGCTAAAGTAGTAGTACTGAAGTGAGTGCAATATGAGCAGTCGCTGGATTGATTCCTCCACAGGCATATACTTTGTTTTTTTAAAGTGGCCTGTCAAGACCATGCACAAGAAAGGGAGCAGGATGGAAGATTCCAATGTCGTAATTTAGCCTTGCAGCTCCCTAATTTTGGCTTTCCCATACTTCATACATCATCTTTCACATCAGATCCTCCCATTCGTCACCAGACAGGGTGTCAGGGAAGCTTGTGTGTAAGGCATGTTCATGTTATATCTAGTCAACCCCCTTCCCTGATCCCTCCCTAGTAACTCATGTACCAACTTATGTTCCCTTGCCCTGATCGGGGACATGTGAATGATCTGTGTGTATGTTCCACTTTAATGGTACAAACACTTTGATAGTCTCACAGCTACGAGTGTACTTGTTAAGGTACAGGTCTAAGATTAGTCCTAGGGCAACTTCGGCATGAGGTTTGGCTAGCGCGAGGGGAGTTCGCAATGGGAAGCATTTCCCAGGGAAGAGGTAATGACCATGGGAGTCCTTGGCAGGCTCCTCAGGCATTATTAGATAGCCGGAAAGGGAATTGGGCTAAATGTAGTTCTGGTTGAATACAAAAGACAGACCTAATCTAAAAAAATGTAATCTAAAGTAATCTAGAGAAATCGTTTACTTCAGTTTTTTATTGCTCATGGAGCTAGTGCAGATCCTTTATCTTGCAGTCTAATTGAATGTCTAAATTTGTATTATGTCATTGGAGAAAGCAATAGTAAACTAAATAAGGTATCCCAGAACCTCTAAACTATGGTTGCCCCAAACAGTGCCAATAGGGCAACCAATGGCACACAGGTTGCCACCTAGGCCACATGCAACATCTGATCAGTTCAAGTGATGAGACATCAATGTCAATGTTGTTATAGAAACAGGAATGGTTTAAATATCGATATATTAAAGATGATGTTTTTTGCCATAGATTGTGTTTTGTGCTTGATGTTCTTACATTTTCAATATTCGGTTTCGAAAGAAAAATTCCCATAATTACAATTTTGTAAAAGTTACAACACTAAATAATGACTGTACCACTGTCAGTTTGTGTTGAAACCAAATGACCACTGTTTGTACCATCTTCATCGGTGTTCCTTGGTCTTATTATTCTAAATTTTTTTCAGTTAAATCTTAATTATTCATTAATAAACATTGATGTTGTATGAAAAAAAGGAATGTTGCACTCAAATGTAGTGATGGAAGTTACTAAACCACCTTAAAACATGAATGTTTAAAAATGTCAATGGTTTAATTTTGAACCATGATGTCACATCACTGATCAGTTCTGGAAACACCATATTTGTAGAACTGTTGTTACCACCACTGTCCATATAAAGTAGCACATCTCAAATTGTTCGGTCAGTCTTTAGCCAAAAAATGCTTCTGTCTTGTTTTCACATTACTAATTGTTAAATATCAAATGTGAAAGGATTAGGTCATAATATTTCTCATGAACAAAGACTATTTTTTATTGGATTTGTTAGCAGGATTTTCAATACAGTCTCTTCCAGCTTATTCTCAGGAATGCATAGCAAACATCTCATATCGCAACAAGAGATGCATTGCAATTTTCATGTGTGATAACAGACTGCCAGCGGAGGGGAAGCGGGAAGGGCGAGGGAAGGATGTGGCCCTGGAAGTGCACCAGGCATTTCAGGGTCACCATGCCTTGAATCCAGCTCATTGAGCTGAACTGATATTTACCAAAGGAATGGGAGGTTCAAGATGCAAACCTACCACGTGAGGATAAGAGGAAATGAAAGAAAGATGCAAATATTTAAAATTGTTTTGTTCATGTTGTGATAGAACTGTTGTTAAAAAAAGGGAGCATATGAAACAAATGTTTCTTACATGTTCCAAATTTTCAAAATGAACATAACCCATCTGCAGTTTTTAGTATTTTTCAAATGATATTTGTTTATCCTTATTAGCACTCAATCATTAGACTTGGGAAAAATTCAATCATTTTACATTGATATTGTACTTTTTTCAAGTTTCTTTGATATTGAATTGATATTTAATTATAGTATTTGTGTTCAGTTTGTATATGTACTCTTCACATTTAAAGGTCTCCTTTATAAATATCTAATTAGAAAATTGATCACAGAAAAAATACTAAAACGCTAATAAAATATTTCTGTTACAGAAAAATTTATCGAACATTTCAGAAGAACTTCGAACGTTATACCAGAAAAATACACGCCACTTACTTGGAGTCCTTTCGCAGTCAATTAATTCACGAATGAAAGGTGAAAATATCTCAGAAAAACGGGTTCTTGCCCTTACAAGCTCATACTGGTGTGTGCTGTCTTGCTGTTCACCTATTCACTTTAAGATGATAATGCCATATGTGGACCAGTTTGTTTCTTGTGCTGTAAGTTTTGTAGATTACTCTTTTAATTAATCTGGAATTGATTAATGAAGTTTTATTCATTTCTTTTGTGATTATTCTTATTCTTTTATTCATTATTATTAATATTAATTATCATCATCATCATCATTAGAATTATTAATTTTACAATTAATTACTCAGAAATTAAAACCACAAAAGAAATGCAAATTCTTTGTTAGTTATATTCTATTGTTCAGAATGTACATTATTTACATTTTACTTCCCCTGCTGTTGCAGTTTTCAATGAAAGATAATGTTAGCATCAAAAAGTTACATTTTAGTCACTGGGAGTATGTAAAAATATCACTCTAAATAGAAAAATGCCAGAAAATATTTCAGCTGTAAAATTTTTAACTTAAAAATCATAAATTTATTTTTTTATTTAATAAATACAAAAATATTACTGGAAACAGCTTCTGTGATGTTCCTGGCATTTTCCCTAATTAGTGTTGGTACAGTATTTATAATACATGTTAAGTGCAATGGATAGACAATAAAATGTATCGTATAAAGATTCTTTGTAGGATATTACAATGTATACTTGCAATATTTATTTTGAATTACAATCTCAAGCTGATAATCCTTCAAATGGTTAGTTTCTAATGTGGATGTGATTTGGTTCTTAGAAATGTTGAATTTTGCAATTTCCATTGAAGATTAAAATTCCATTACCAATAATGGGTCAGTTAACAGACCTTTTTGACTTTTTGAAATTATTTCATCCTCACTTAGACACAACGCCCTTAATATTTGGGTCTGACTTCTGAATTATTTTCTAAGAAAATGAAAGTTCAAGTGACTCTTATTGTACCTGTAATGGGCAACTTTTTATCTTGTAAGCCTGTATTGAGCACACAAATGTGGACCATTCTCACATCCCTCTGCCTATTCAGTCTTCGATCAACACTAGTGCCAAAGCTGTACATAGGATTTCTTCTGAAATGAATGTACCCTGTTTATTCTGGCTCATCTGGAGACCTTATGATTTTGAGAGGGATCTTTTAATATTAAGAGAAAATTTTTATGGAGCTTATACCAAATTTTCAAAATTTTCTCAAAAACAGCTACACTCTTTTTCATTGATGATTTTGAATGAATAAGAACATGTTAAGTAAAATCTGTCTAAGCCGGAATCAGTTGGGACAAAAAAAATTCTGGTTAAGAGAGGTTTCCATTTTATGCTGGTTTGACCATTTTATGACCCTTGTGATATTAATATTTAAAACAGATTTGCAGATTCATTCATTTCATTGAAAATATCTCAGGCATTTCTGCCAGTTGCTTTAAATTCACAGAAATTTTGCTTTTAAAAGGTACTATTGTAGGACATTTGAAGCCGTTCCATTTCTGCATTGGATAGGTTCCGTGTTATGCTGTGTAAACTTGATGGTCTGGAGAAATTTTCCATTAAAGGCAGGTTTCCAGCTTTCCAGAGTCTGGTTTAGACAGATTTTACTGTACTTAAAACTTTGGTGAAAGTCAAAGTTTATTGAAAATCTCTGAATTTTTGAAAAATTGCTTAATTCTAAACGGCATAAAATAGTAGTGTGATAAAATGTCATGAGCCAAGGTTGAACCTTCAAAACTACTAGACTTATCAATAATTTGTTATAAAAACGTGTGTTTATCCAATTTTTGTTTTGTTTTTGTGTCCATCAAATGTTTGGAATGATCTAAAATCTTCTAGTTATTGAATAAGACTCCATAAAAAAAAAAGTATATTACAAGAAAACGTCTCGCTAAAATGTGAAAAAAATTTTCAATATGCAAACCACTTAACATTTTAAGCTTTCTCCCGAAAAACTAAATCCACATTGACTGCTAAACTTGGTTTCCTTGGTGACACAGAACTGCATTTTCCTCCTTGCTACCAGGGGAGGGAGAGTGGAAACGCCCATAATCTTTTTGCATTTTTCGAGGCTAGCCCATTATAGGGATTTGTTAAACCTGAAGTTTGCTTTGTGAAGCAAATAATTTTAACTTTTAGAAGTAATGTAAAACTTCTTTGTTACATATTTTCCAAATTATACAATGTTATTTCTGTCTTAACTTCACTTTGTAAAGAATTAAACTAACCAAATAATTGAATTGTAATATTTTGTCTAAGTTTTCAGTATTGGAAAATCCAGATATGTATCAGGATGCAGTGCCAATGGCAGAAAATCTTTTGGAAGTTGTTACAAGCAGTCATAAAAAAATTAAGAATGATTTGCCTGGCAATGTTCTGTGGAAAACATACAAGTCTCTTAACAGACCGCAACTAGTGGCAAGGCTATTGAAGAAAGCAGCAGTGTCAGATTTTGAACGTGTTTTGAAAGACCTATGCCAATCATTGGTGAGTATCATATGAGTGCATGATAACAGATTTTTTTTATATATACGTTTTACTGGATGGAGATTAATTTGCATTTTATCGATCTAGGATGATAGTTGAACAAGATACAATAAACCCTTATTAGCACATACTGAACTCAAATTTCACTGTGAAAACATATTGAACGTATTGAAAAAGCGCATAGGGGGGTAACCAAGATACCACGTAACCGTATTTATACTGAATATTAGTTGACCCCCTTGTTTTGAAGAGGCTTCCTAAGAATTTTTTAAAGTTCTTAATTAATTCTTACTATTTAGTTGAAATAAAATTGCATATTGTGTAGTTGACTAGAAAATAGGATTTTTGTTGAGAATGTTGCATATTATTGACTGTCACACTACTTTCTTGTTTCTTAAATCTTCATAATTATGTTTTCTGTCACTTTGTTCTTCATTTTTACTGTTTTGTGTTTGTGTTGCAATTTTCTTTCTTTTTCATTCTCCTCCCATATTGCAATGTTTTCTGGCTGTTTAGATCCTTCTGTAAGTTTTGCATGTTGAATTTGCATTCTTGGTCCTTCATCTTGCACCATCTAAGCACGTTCCCTTCTATGGCAACAAAATTTTCTCTTGTTTCTTTCTCTTGCGAGGGTTATGGCCTCAGATTCTTTAACACTTTTTCCCTTCCTTGTGGTTCTTTCACGTTCTTTAACAGAGTATATTTGAAATTTGAATTGTTTAATGTTTGTGTGTGTTCACATTGTAAATTGTGACTGTCTACATCTCCATTTTGCAGGTACATGGGAGATAGTGGCATGTTTCCAAGATTGGAAAGTTTTTGCTTAGAAATTTTTTTTAATATCAATGTGAAATTTTTCATTTCAATCTCTTGCAAATAGCAGGTTCACACTGACTGGGCACTGAATCGAGAGTCTGCATGGCCTCATCAATCAGTACATCGTACAATGAAATCTCGGGAACAATTTATATTCATTTTCACTTTGAGTTTATAAGGCAACTCCTTAATTTTGGGTCACATATTTCTTTCTGTTTCTTAGTTATTTCATAAATGAGGCATCAACGATACTGTAACCTGTTTTAAAAATTATTTCACGAGTTGAAAATTTATTTCATACTTCATTTCTTTCTATAATGTATTTCATACTGTAAAAAATACTTCATGGTATTTTGATGATGCCAATAGTTGGTTTAATATAGCTACATTTGTTTTACAATTTTTTCTAATATTCACAATAATGCAGAAAGATCACCTCTAAGCTGAGCTTCTAGGTTATTCTCTAATCCTAATATATGATAATTCTCAAATAGTTCCGAAAAGTCTGTCACAAAATCTTCTACAACTACATTTGATCTTTCCCTGGATTTCCTTAACACTTCCATATTTTTCTTCCCATATTTTTGAAGAAATTAAAACTCCAAAAACTCTGTCTAATTGACGTTCCCTTCCACTTCCGAATTTGCTCTATTAATCATTTTGTATGTGAATCTATATAAACATAAAAAAGCGACTGTGTTGTATGTGTATGTGAATAAGGTATTAGTTCAGTTTAATAAGAATAAGTTGTGGGTCACGTCCATTTGAAAATTGGTATTTGTACACTTAGGAACGTAAAAGTGGGAAATCGACCGTAAGAACGTTTATTCGTTCTCTAGCATTACTCACAGTTTTGTTTTCTCTGTATTCACGTGAAATTCTTCTACTTTAAGTTCGTGAAATTCGTGCAATAACATATGCATGCATATATATGCATCTATTCAATATTTACATTCTACAATTCAATTAGATTTTGGTAAGGCATTTAGATGAGGACAAGTTTTTTTTTTTTTGAAGTTTTTTGCATTTTTTGTTCGTAGAAGCCAAGTGATGGTCAGCCAAAGGAATTTCCTGACTTGCGCCTTCCTACAAGTCTTGCAACTATGCCAATGGAGGCTGCAAAAGCTGTGTCTATAGAGAAGATGATGGTGCGCATAAGTTCTGTGGCCTTCAGTAAGGTCATGCAAGGGGATTCTGATGACAAGCTGCCTGAGTTATTAGCATTTCTTTTGGCAATAGCAAAACGATCCAAAGTAAGATTGCTGGAAAAAAGTATTGTTTACATTTGAACTTTCATAATTTTTACTTATGATGACCAAATTTCTGGCCTGGCCTATGCCTGGCCAAATTTAAAATGACCTGGAATATATTGTAATAGTAGTATGTAGTCTCTTAATTTTTCAAGTAAAGCAAGATGTGCTACTAAATATAGTGCAAGTCCAATTTTCATTGAAACCTTCAAAATTTTGGAAATTCCGAATTGAAAACTCCCTCGCTTTTTTTACTATAGTTATTCATGCAATGCCTGAATAATGCTCAGGATACAAGTTGCAGTGTTTTAATATTAAATATCTGGTACCAATAATACAAGAAAGTATTTATGCTGTTCTTGCACCATTAGTTCGCCTCCACTACAGATGTAGGTTGAAAATGCCATAATCCTTTTGCCAATTATCAAATTGCTATTCCCCACTGGCGAATCAAGGCAGAGAGTGGGCATGGATAATGTACCCCTCCCCGGCCATCAATTTTTGTAATTTTACTCAATTTGATCAAAATACTTAACATATATTGATCTCATCACATCCAGAACACACTGGTGGCTCTTACAGGAATTTTAGGAGGAAAGAAGTCAGGCAAATGCTATTACATTAAATGAAACACAGCTAATTAGATTACACACAGATGTAAACAGAGAGAGAGAGAGAGACTGGAGAGGGTGAAAATGAAGGAGTGAGATAGAGAGGGAGAGACAGAACGAGAGGAGAGACAGTGTGCGAGAGGGAGAGATAAAAGGAGAGGTACAGAGACGTAACGGTTCAATTTGCCCTATCACCCAGTTTCCGCCAGCTTACGGTGCTGTCCAGATGCAAGATGATAATATGAATTGAATTAATGCCTTATTTTATGTGGCGAGACTCAGGCCATCAGGCCTGCTCTTCCATCTGACCACGCAAATTTCGCTATGCTCCTTTCACAAACTAGCAGAGGAAGGAGATATTTCTTGGGTGAGAAACAGGCGATTTTGAATTTAACTCAAGAGACGTCATTTAGGCTTGAGGATCTTTTACATGCAAGTAAATCTACTAACATGGGACAGCCGGCTTTACTTTCCCTCTGGTGCTTGGTGTGTTCATTTAGTTCCAATAGGTGTCATTCTAGAGGAGAATATCCTCCACTGACGTGTAGACGTGTAGCTGCATTGAAAACATTATTTTTCTTGGCGCTGGAACGCTCTGCTATATAGAGCGTTACTACACAAGAAGAGGAAGCGCTGAGAATTCCTCCTCAAAGTGATTTCAAGTTTTGAGTCGCCTAAAAAGCATACGCAGATTAAAATCTCAATCAAATACAAATTCCGATCACTGTGAACTATAAAAATATACATTTTCTGTCTTACATCAAAGAAAATATTGTATTTGGTTACTACATTCAAAAGTAGAAAATGTGTAAGGACGACATTCCCCTCTTCCCTCCTCTCAGAACTGCCACTGCAAACATAAAGCAGTATTCCCATTATGAATGCACTTGTTTTTAATTTATTTCAAACTACCAATTGTAGCAAAATTTTTACAACAAGAAATATTTATAAGGACTCAAATTAACATGCACATGCACCAACTTACCCACTGTCTCTCTCTCTCACATGCTCATAAATAGGAAGCAGTTGTTAGATCCATGGTTCCTGGCTTTTTTGACCATTGCTGCACTGCGGCAAACCTTCAAAGCACATAAATGCCATTATTATTATCTGTACTCCTTTAGCCTGCAGTTTACTTATTTAATGTTGTGGTGGTCTAGTTATTGCCTGTTGTAGAAATACAATAGTAGAGTTAATATTTTCCTCAAAAAATATTATGTATTGTTATTGGATCTAAATTACATGTGGATTTTTATGTATTTTAGGTGTCATTACCCTTTGAGTTGGCAGACGTCATTCTAAGGACTAGTGTGTGTGCTTTGAATGTTCCGTCAATGTCTCGTGAGCTTGCAATGTCTACTAGTACTGCTGTAATCCAACTGCTTTCAAAAATGGTGGTGCACCACTTTGCGTTACTGAGTGACCGGATACCATCATTTATGCAGGTTTATCGCATGGCAGTTCACACAGTTGTAATAAGCAGTGCAGTGGAATTGCAGCTCACAAATGAAGAAGCAGAGAAATGTTGTAGATGTGCTCTGGAGATAGAACAGTAAGTAGAGGCTTGTTGATTATGCTTGTTTGGAAGTATTTAGAAGGGTTTTTCTATGTGAATTCTGAAGTGAATCAACCATTCTTTCTTTTAAATACTTATAATTTTTATAATATTATTAATTTACTTGTTTATTTGTACTATATTAATGTGCGGCTTTGTGATGCATTTTGCCCATCATCACTAAATAATTGTTTTTGTTTAGTTAACTAAATATGCTCATCAATTCCATGAAATATTGTTTATTTTCACTATGTTTATGGCATCCGTGCAATTAAATGTCCACAACAGCCAATCAGAACTAATCAAAATCATTTAATTATGTATCTATAAAACAGACGTTTCTAGGTGGTCAAGAAATATGAACAAAAATGTACATCAAAAACATTTAATCAGAGAACGAATGAAATAAAATTATAAATGAATAATTCACTCAAAACATTGTAGACAGTCACATTAAAATTTGTAGAACAATAAGTTAAATTAGAAACTATTACTCTACTCATACTTGGTATTTATCATCTAACCCAGAAGTCGCTTTGTAATACACAGATATGTTAATTCACCTGTTTGAACATGCCGAACCAGAGAGAGCAGTTGTTGTGCCAAAACTCCTTATTTGTTTTGGAAAATCAAGTAAATTGTTTATAATTTTAAATATTAATATTCTCCTTTACACTTCAACATAAACAAATGTGACCATAAGCATGTTGTTTTGACCCTAGCTGACTAATGGAATAACATAAAATATTTAACATGAATAAATGTTTTACATCTAAAACATTTGGTCATAGAATATTACAAATATAAAAAATGCAATTGTCAGTTGTATTTCCCCGCTCTGTATAGTACACCAGCAAAACATCAGAGTTAGAACTCAATCATCTTTCTCCTTTCCAACATTAACGCGTGTTGTTCTCTCATACATGCTCTTACATTTCATACGAAGTAATGTTTTCTTGACTTTGTTAGCTTCTTCTAAAATGTCAACTGGGATTCGTTCAATATTTTCCTTTTTCAAACGTAATTATCAATTAAAATGATTCTCTAAGACACTAGTGGGTGATCATTAATATACACTGGAAGGCCTACTAAAATAGATCTTGTTGAGAACCAAGACAAACACATACCTTTCATGGTAAAGAAATGATTGAATTTCTCAAAATTAAAATTATTCTCTAATGAAAACAAAAAAATATTGAACAATATACTGGAATAAAGGGGTATAATTGCACTCATGGTAAATAAGAAAACTTGCTCCTGTCATAGCTTGTGTTCTTGAACATAGCATTCATACAATTATACCCCTCTTTATATACTCGTTTTGTTAATTACTATAATTTGCGCATTATTTATTTCTGTATACCAATAAACGTTCTGATACATGTGCTGAGTTTATGAAATGTTTGCATTTTCAGATTGAGTAAATCATTGTCACAACACTCCTTGGATTTTAAAGCTGTGTCACAGCATTTAGTGGCGGGCATGTTACAAGAGTTGGAAGAGACTACAATTCACCACAAAGTGAAGGTACTTGAACCCTTTGTTTTGTTACTTTTTTTTTTTTTTTAGATGTGGGTTTTGTTGTGTTTGTGAATGTTTGTGCAGGTATGAATAAATAGACAGGAATCAATTGATTTGTATCCTCAAAGTTTTTAAATGATACAGAGATATCAGAAGTTCTTAATAGTAAGTCTTAAATAGTATCTCAAGATGGCTTGGAACAGGCAACTCAAAAGAGAAAGATTAGTTGGCCCCCTATGTTTAAGCAGTTTCTGTGATCTACCATTGAAGACTGTTATTTCTTTTAACTTTAATTAATAAATTATTATTGATAATTAATTATCATAACAATTAATTTCAAAGTACTTTAAATGCCTAGAAGATTTTGTTTGATTGGGTCATGTACATTTTGTTTCTTATTAAAAATAGATAAAATCGTTTATTATTAACTGGCTCTGCTTGTCATGATATTTATTGAAACTTTGCTATTTCAGTCTGGATCTTTTCTGTTCACAGTTCCACATCATGAATTCATTGTATGCGCTAATGGACCTGTGTGATAGATTTGCATTTGCCCATCTTAATCAAGCTCTGGCACCCACATCCTTGGAACTATTCAAGACAGTTAGGAGTAACTACAAGAAATTTTACCGGTACACTGGCAAAGTGTAGGCCAATTCCTCGAATTGTTATTGAGAGTTTCATTTATAAGACAGTTTGTTACTGATGAGTATTGTATATAATTGTATATTCAAATGTTTTTGTACATTTGTACTGAAGTTATTTTTATGATAAAGTTTGTGTCTTCTTAAACTGGTGTTTGTCTTATTAATCATTTTTCTATTCACAATTCTTTTTCTTATTTGTAAGCCTTTTACTCCCCAGGAAAGGAAGAGAAGAAATTATAGAACGATTTGATAAAATTCAATATCATAACAACTCACAATTATCAAGGCATGAAAAATGTTTATCAATATTAATAAAATTGAAGAATATATTATATTACAGGATAAACAAAATAGAATTGATTAAGTACACAAAATTATTTCTAAATAACTGCCTTTCAATAAACTCATAATCAGATTCATAGCTACATATTAGGCTGGAAGGTGGAGCCTACCCAAACATTTAATGAAAAAAAACAACAACATTCTCATTACTTCATAATGCCCTTATTGATAATTAATTTTTCAATTCACAATTACATTTCTCTTATGTTTTGCGCCATCTTCTAGCAGTTAAAACTTAAGGATTTACACCAAATCTTACTTTAAAAAAGCTGATGATGAAAAATCGTCCCCATGAAAAAAACAACAATGTTGGGTGGTGTAAAAAGAAACAGACTTAAGCATTTTCTCTTGTTTTCCGGAAATTACTATTGTTTGAATTATATTTCTTTCAACTGGATAGCTAGCGGCAGATTTGGGAGAGAGTTAACGTTATTTAACTAGTGGCCCCAAATTCTGCTGACGTTTCTGTAGAGTTGCCGATACTTATTAAGAAAAAAATGCAATATTACAGCGCAAGACAACTGTAAAGTGAAGAGCGCCATTACTCCGTTGGTTATGCATCGTGTGTGCGGTTCTTTGTCGTATACCGTTGTGTGTTCTTATTGCGATTTGTTTCATGATACTGTTGTGATTAATGCAATAACTACCACGTGACTTGCACCCAAGCGACATCGCTCTACTCCCCTCTCCCTGGATCCACGCCACGATCTTAAAAAGAGAAAGTTGTGTAATGCTGCACGAGAAAACGGCGAATTTTCGACAGGAAAATGTATTACAGAGTCGTTCAGCCGATTTCGCTCCAAAATTGATGTTTCCCAATCGATCTGGCTGAAGTCGCGGCCCCTATAATTTGAAATCGATATTTTAATTTTGCGGGGTACTTTACATGAAGCCCCTGGGACAGTTTTTAAAAAACGGCTCTATCGTTTTAGATTTTTTGTTGGTAGTGTAAAGGACATTTAAGAAAATGGTGCAGGTCTTTGAAAATTTTTGAAAATCTTTGAAAATTCTGATTTTTGGATAATTGTAAATTTTCAATTTTTTTTCTTCCTACAACTAAAATGTTCAAGGTAGAGATTGTTTCCTCTATTGAAATCTGTTCTTTAAAGATAGTTTTTGAAATAAGGTCTTGTACAATATTTCGAAAATTTGACTACTTTTCGCATAATTTTACGTGAAAATACGGGCGGGAAAGTATGTGCTGTTTTAGCACCACTAGTTACTTGAAAGTTTCGTGAGAAATTTAATTTAATAGAGCGGGGGGGGGCGGAAATTTCTCTCATCTCCCCTATGGATCCGCGCCTGCGTTTTTTATATATAGCAATGAAGTAACTCTGCTCTAGAGCCTACCCAGAAAAAATTACCACTCTGCTTTACTGCCCATTGTGAGATTTTTATTTTATTTTACATAACGGGACATACACTTTGACGGAAACAAAAATGTACAGTTTTTCAAATGTCGCTAATCTCACGCTTCTTAAAAAAAACTTTATTCATCTTTAACTTTTACTCATCTTTCAACTATTTATAGTTTAAATGATGAGAAGGAATTCTAGAACTCAAGAAAACGTGCACAGAATATGTTCTCCCCGGAAACTCGAATGAAAGCAATGTTTCAAACGAAAATCGTGGATTTTAAAGATAAATGCGTGCACTTAAGTGCGTAATTCTAAGTATGGTATATGTTTATGCGCATACGTGCTAATTAAGATTGTAGTTAATCGTTATAAGTGAAACTACCATGTGAGTTACCCTAGAGTACGCAATAAGTAAGATGGCGTCCGCTAGTGTCTCGTCAGGACGAGCATCAACGTATGTGACGTAGTATGGAAAGAAGTATAACCCGCGCATGTTTTCTTAAGCTCCAGAATGTCTGCCTCTACCCATTACGAAATGCAGGCAGGACATGGAGGTGAATAATTAATGGGGCATGCAAGGGCCATCCGTAAATTAAGTAACGCAAATTTGAAGTATTTTGAATACCCCATCTCCGCCCTGTAAAGCGCGCTTGAACCCTCTTCTAATAAATTCCGTTACGCTAGCGACAAGACCCCCCTCCTCATCATAAGTGAAAATCAATTATTAAAAATAACCGTTTTATTAATTGTATTTTGGTTATATATTAAAATGTAGTATAATTAACGCGAGAATTAGTTGGTGGTTGGACTGTATATAATTAGATCGGGGACAATTTCTGAATTAAAGGACGAGTAGGCGAGAAAATGTCTGCCGAGCCGTGCACAGTTGCACACGCTGCATGAATGACGCATAGTAGGTTCTGACTTCATTGGATTTTGGAATATACCAGGGCTCATGTTTAGGTTACACAACCCCCAGATAATCGAAAATTATTTTATAACATATTAGGAGTATACATTCTCGTTTTAATGGCTTTCAGTATTCAAGATACTGCAGCAATATCGACGTATGTGAAATCATTTTGAAAGCAAAGAGGGCCCAACTGACACTCTCTCCGGTGTCTGGTGCCCTCCCAGAGGAGCAACCTCCAGTCTGTGGGGGCGCCAGCCCTCCACGGGATTCAAGGACCCACAAAACATGGATTCTGACTACACAAGGTCTTACAGGAAGAGATTTACTACATAAGAGAAAGAGTTTTCCACTTTTTCGGTACCAAGGTTTTTCTGTCCAAAGAGAGTTTTTCTGTCAAAAATTTGCGGTTTTTTCAGCTCAAGCGTGAATGTGTAAGGAGAACGTTTATTTTCGTCCACGCAATCTCTTCAATACTCATTGATTCTTTCAGAAAAGTAATAATCTTTGTCAATTATGTGTCGCTTTTTCCCAGAACTCTCGTCTCGTGAGAACACAGAAGGCGATGCACAAAACTTCTCGTTGCAGATTCTGCTAATGCTCTCCCAATTCATCTAAGCAATATTTCGTAGTCTCAACAGCCTTTGTTGCGTCCCAATCGGATATTCTCTTACGGCTAACAATTTTTTCTTTCACATTACATTTAAATGGTATTTTTAAAAGAGAAAAGTTAATTGGGCTAATTTTAGGTAAGGTGTGCAGATTGCTTGGACGAAAATACATCAATACATTGAAAATGCAGAAACATTCCTCGCAACATGGGCAAAAAATATGGATTATCGAATAGATTTAAAATAATTTTTAAAAGATTAATTTGTAAACGCATAACAAAATCTCGATTGTAAGAAACGAACAAAGAATTATGAAATAATGTAAAAATTCTAACTTACGTAGCATCCAACTGCCTGGAATCACCTTTCATATTACATTCACAAACAGCAGAAAATTCGAAGCGGGCGACAATGTTTGACGCCAAACAATACAAAAATACTCATATTTTCGAACTATTCAACGTGGCCTTATTTGAAGATCTGTTTATGATGAATACATTTCATTAAGAAAAATGTTTCTATTCGTAGTTGTAGTTGTAGGAAGGCGCCGAAAAAGAATATGAATTTTTGTAATTTTCATAAATGAGAATTTTCAACGAATATGGGACCTGTACCATTATCTTAAGTTTCCTTAATCTATCAAACCACAAAATATAATCAAAAACGTTGGAGCCATTTTTTTTAACATTTTGAAAATGTCTCAAAGGTTTCATGTAAAGTAATGAAGTAATGTAAAGTAATGAAAATGTCTTAAAGTGTTCATGGAAATTAACATTTCAGTTTCAAGTGCAAGGGGTTGCGACATTAACCAGTTCGGCAGGGGAATGTCAATTTTGGAGAAAATCGGCTGAACGGTTTAGCCGCTAGCGATGTTCACAGATGGACGGACAGCGATTTTGCAGTCAATCGATTTTTTGGTATCAAGGACCGACAAAACATGGATTCTGGCTACCCCACGTGTTAGAGGTTTTGTATGGATCTTTGTGCACGAATTTCTTGATTATTCGCCATATCTTGCACCCTGCGATTATTGACTGCTTCCAAAATTGAAGATAGTGATGAAAGAAAGGCATCACAACACCATATAGGACTTTCTTGAAAGTTCAACCACGGTCTTAAATGCAATTCCAAAGAATGGCTACAATAAATGCTTTGAACCATTTTAAAATCATTGTTAGCAGGGCGAAGAATCAAACCTGGAGTATTTTTAATAAAAATACAAAAATGAAAACGTCATCGTCGCTCTTCTATTTTTTATCTAATCAGTCACACCAGGTCTCGGACATACTCTGTAATACCACTTTGTGCGTCGATTCAGGGTTCATTGACAGCGGTAGACAATAGTCGGCATTTATATTTAATTTCGTGTATTTTGCCATCTGACCTAACACCATAACCTAACACTGGAAGGGATTTTTCGGGATAAATTTGTGAGAGAGGTTTGTGGTAGGCAATTAGGCTAAAATGAAGAGCGTATACACGGTGAAGGAATTTATCAACTGCCTAAACGATAGCAAGAGCCTCCTTGTCCATTTGCGAATACCGTTGCTCAGTGGCTTTGAGGTCACAGTTTATGTATTTACGTAGGTTACGCACATTAACGCAGCTCAACCCGTTTTCTGGCTAATTAAGGTCTATTCACAATGCAAGCATAAACATAAGCATGATGTTCATATAAAAGTTAGGATTACGTCCATAAACGGACTCATTCTCAATGCGTTCGCATAAGCATAACACGTAAGACGTAAACTTACAAGCTTGCAAGCTTCGAGCTTCTGTGCTTATACTGAAGTAAGACATAAGTAATGAACCAATCACAGTACGTTAATTCAGAATCGAGAATCGAATTTGGAGCGAAGTCGATAGAAGAACTAACGCCATTATGGGCCATGGACACAGTCGATACCTTGAAATCGATTCTCACATCCAACCAATACTAAACCAGTGTGTCTCACAGTCAATATAATCTCTTATTTATAAAAAATAATTCGTGTTGTTGATTTATAATAAACATTAGGACCTTCGACATTTTAGGGTATTATTAAGACAAATTGCAGTGTTGAACACACGGTAATGCACAAGGCCAAAGTTTTCAAAGCGTGAAACATTACAAATTACACAACTCTGAGTACCACAATGTCATAAGAAGTTAGTTTCCCACACATGATCAATGGACCGGATTCATCACGCAAAACCGAACTGACACACTGCATTCCCCGAACAAACGTCTACGCCTAGGGCAAGGTCGTATGTTTTCTTCCCACATGTAGGTAGCTGGATCCCGGTGTTGCTGTAAGCACCATTTAATCAACATGTATGGACATATGTAGCTAACATGACAGAGCGGTGAGGAGCAGGGCGTGCTTAGTGAGGCAGTTTGAAGTGGGGCAGGGCAGGGATAGGACGGAGAGAGGGTGGAACTGGGCGGCTAGGTCGGAACAGTGTGATCGATTGATTGATTACAGATTCCGGGTGCGTCAACGTCTAAGGTCATTAGTCCCGTAAGTTTAGTGCATGTTTAAGGTATAAGCTCCCGACAGGTCTTCAGGTACGTGTGGCCGTGTAGTGCAAGAAAGTGTGAGTCTAAATAATGGATGTGGATAGGACAAGGGAGAGGAAAGAAAGATCTAGCGCGGCCCGTGGCCCATTTGTTAGGGTACTGCCTCGGCATTCGCCTGGAGAAACCACGGAAAACTACCTATCAAATCAGCCGGACGCTAGAATTCTCCTCCAGACAGCGGCTGAATTCGGCCTAGCTAAGTAGCTAGATTTCAGTCTTTTCACATGAATGTTTTTATCCTTCTTCTGCAACTTCAAATCCAGAACGTAAACGTAATGTCATTAAACTGCATAATGTTTATCACGTAATATCAGTTTTTAAGTTCAGAAAAATATGAGGAAGATTGTATATGTCATGGAATAATTTGACTGGGAAGATTTTATAATTTATTTTTTTCCATTTATAAATTCCATCTCCGTACGTAAAAAAGACGTGCCAGAACTTCACAATGCGTTCGCCGGAGGGCGTCATAGTCGCACACAATCCACAAACAGTTCATGAATTCACCACCACGCGGCAGCACCGCCGCGTCGTTGCAGCGCGCAGCTTCTGGAGCTAGTCCCGCAGCAGCGGTGGAGGTGTGTGGTTGTTGTTGCCTCCACGCCGCGCGGGTACCCCAGCTTGTGTTGTTGTGGCCAGTGACCTTGCGCGTGACGCACGTTGTCAGATTTCGGGTTAGTGCGGCGGCGGTTTTATAACCAAATGATGGTCTGTGCGAGCATTTCTTCGTGGGTTTTGTGAAAAGTGAAAAACGTCGACGATTGTGTGACTTGCGTGAGTGTGACAAGAGAAGACAAGCCCGCGTTTCAAAAAAACCGGGCATGGGCGCTACGAGCGCCTGAAGAAATGTCTGCTTCTGTGTGCGCGTCGTCTTCGGTTACCGCTGCGATGGCTGGGAATGAATCGGGATGGGATTCCGACGGTTCGCTGAGCTGGGAGGACTTTTTTGGTGAGTACCAAAAATGTTCCTTTCGTAGCAATGTTATAGCAGTCATTTGTTGGATTTGATTGTAATACGACAGTCAGTAAGATTTGTGCCAAGTTTTTGACGTTTGTTATTGTTGTTACAATAGTAATTCGTTTGTTCGATTTTATTCAGCCTTTCGAAGTTCGTGACTATTGTTGGTATTGAAATTATTGTGAGAATTTGTGATTATCATAAATGTCAAAATGCAACTCTTTCGGTGAACCTTGTATTCGCTTAAACCACGTTCTGGTTTGTTTGGATGTTCTCAGAAAGTGTTTATCTTCCAAGTAGTGCGACATTTCTTACAATGCATATTAATTAAAACACTCCTAATTTAAGATTTCTTGTGTTGTTGATTGACAGCAAAACACAACTCTAGAAATCAGATTATCTGTCAAAATATTAACGATATCATTTCAGTTATGTTTCTGATTTTGTTGGGTTAATAATTATAATGGCTTTGCTAATCCTGGTCGTTGTCGTATGCACTATGACAGTTCAGGGCACACGCGTGCTCGATAAGTACTGTGCTGTTTTCAGTTTCTATTTACTGGAAGTTAATTTTCAATGTCAATAATATCATAGACGGCAAAAATAAAAATAAAAAAATGACAAAATAAAAAGTACATACCCATGGGTAATAGATATCGTTTCCATGTTTACGCATTTAATCGGGTGGTCTGGCTACATTCCAAGAATTGTACAATGTCTTAAACATTGAGTAACTTGTTCTAAATTCAAAACAGGTGTTGGAAAAGATCTTCGCATCTCGGTCGCTGTAAGCTGTTGTGTAACTAGAAAGTAGGTCGTAATAGCTGACATCTTCGCATTATTTAAATTCACTTTCGACAGTTTTGCCGGTTCTTGCTGACCCAACATTAGTTAACATTGTAGTGAATTCTGCAGTGTACATTGTGCTTTGGTTATGTTTGTTTACAAACATTGGAACATCATAGGAGATACTCGATTGTGGAATTAAAAGGGAAAATCTAGAGTCCGGAAATATTATTCACTTTGTCAAATTATTTACAAACTCTTCAGGTCGACAGGATTCTGTGACTTCCCGCTTATTCATTGAAACTGAAGTAGTGCCAACATAATTTGCAAGATGTTAATTCTGTAACAGTTTTTTAAAGATAGTTTTTCATATTTAAAACTTTTTTGTCACCTCATATATTTGTATAATTTTGTTTGTATCTAGTTTTGTGAAAATCTCGTGCAGTCTGCGTTAATTTTTCGGAATCCGTGTGCAGGAATCCACTTCATCGTGTGGAGGTCGCAAAACTTCCGTTTCCGGGAGCTTTGGAGGTCGTGACATTTTGTCGAGAACGAGAATCGAACCCATGAACTTTACGTTTCAAGCAATTTGTAGTGATATCCACGAAGACCAGATGGGTTCAAGGGTTCCTAAAAAGAGACCCATCTCCAAATCTTCCCGGCGTTTAATGTTTCACTTAAAATCGCTGTGAAAATTTATAATCAAATTTCGACAAGTAATTTTTCATGTCAACCGTCGCCTGTCATGGTAAGAGAATGTGACACGCGGGCTAGCCAACCACACTTTTGTGGGTTGAGGTGCACTAAAGTTTTTATCGTGGCATTCGTGACCCTGCGAGTGTCATTTGTCAATGATTCGTTTAGCTTTTCATTTCTTTTTTCTGCGAAGAACGCGTATTTTGTGTACAGTTACAATATATTCAAACTGTTTCGTACTGTTATAAAATACCTCCATTAATCGCATGTGTAGAAAGTAATAGATTTTTGACATAAGCTATTAAATTGTAAAAGAGATGGCTACTTATTAATGTTAATAAGTTGGCTGGTGAGAGAAACATTTTCTAATAATTAACTAAATAAAAGGTGATGTCCGGTATCAAATATATATTTAAACTTAAGATCTTATCGATTGCGTAGCGATCATCAGAGATATCTGAAAAGGTACAAGAATACATGAAATAAAAAGAAATATAAATTTGTCTACTATTGACAGTAAAGTTGATAGTACAGATGTCTACTGGTGATAGAAAGTATTCATCTCACTGTTATTTGATTGTATCGTAGAATATGATTGGCTTTGAGTTATTTTCACGAAAGAAATGTAAAATATCTATTTGTTACGTTCAATATAATCTAAAATCCTTGATTTTTCGTAAATTGCAAAAATGCAAGTTTTTTTCGCTTCTTCCTACAGCTACAATGATGAAGACTTTTTTCTTATTGTAATGTGTTCACCTGAAACATTTTCAAATAAAGTTATACTCAATTTTTTGAAAAATGAGTGTTTTTTACGTAATTTTGAATCAAACTTTCCCAATTTTTAATATTTAAACAATTAGTTTCTGGAAAAGGCTCCAACGTTTTTCTTTGATGTTTTTCCTCGTATGTAGCAAAGGACTGTAAAGATAGTTGGTAAAGATAGATGGTACCATTTTCTGCGAAGTCTGTTTTTTCGAAAATTTTCTATAATAATAATATATAATAATAAAAAATAATAAATAATAATATATTATAATAATAAATAATAATATATAATAATAAAAAATAATAATATATTATAATAATAAATAATAATATATTATAATAATAAATAATAATATATTATAATAAATAATAATAATAAATTCGTAATTCTAATTTCGCTTGCTTTGTTTGACGCGACGTCAGTTCGCAAAATAACAATACAATCACAACACAGTCATAACAGCGATTTCAAAATTCTTCAAATTCATACCATATTTGTCTGTCGTGATGATTGTGTGATGTAGGTAATATTAAAATTAAAGGAAATAAATTGAAGGAAGGTAATTTAATTTTGGACGTGTGCATATCGTTTGTGAAAACAAAGAGGGTTGACCCGAAGATTGAACTCAGTGGAACCCCATTGGTACAGAACGAAAAGATAAGGAAATAAAGTTCTTTCGACCCAGTACGATATTTCTATAATTTAAAACATGGAAACAATTAAAAATGCTCAGACTGTACATATCCTCCGAATTGCTTCTCTTTTATGAATTGTCGGGGTCTTCACACTGTACAACGTACTGTATTTCTTTATCGTCTGTGAAATTCAAATGGGGGATTTACGTTGTTGATAACCTCTGAAAATGTAGTACACAGATAGTCACAGTACCTTACCAGAAGCAAAGGAACATTATCTGAGGATTTTTAACCACTCTGCTTCGCACAATTGACATTCAATAGCTATGCCGGCTACAAAGTGATAGAAATTCATGTTAATATTATCTGTCGAATCCATACGATATCGATTCGTTATTATCGAACGTAATTGTGTAGTTAAAGTGTACTTCTGTCACAAAATGGCCGTTTATCATTTTTGAATGATAGTCTTAAGTGGTCGTAGTGAAACCTGTGATTAACTGCAGTTAAAATGCCGAAACAAGGATTTAATTTGACTTGATAATTAATTTTTTGTACAATAATGAGCTTACAGCAACTCCGGGATCCAGCTACCTACATGTGGGAAGAAGACATACGACCTTGCCCTAGGCGTAGACGTTTGTTCGGGGAATGCAGTGTGTCAGTTCGGTTTTGCGTGATGAATCCGGTCCATTGATCATGTGTGGGAAACTAACTTCTTATGACATTGTGGTAATCCGAGTTGTGTAATTTGTAATGTTTCACGCCTTGAAAACTTTGGCCTTGTGCATTACCGTGTGTTCAACACTGCAATTTGTCTTAATAATACCCTAAAATGTCGAAGGTCCTAATGTTTATTATAAACTCGACGTAATCAGAAGCTATTTGGGTTCGCTAGCTGAAGCATTCTTCGACAATCAGTTTGTTGACTAATTAATAATAATTAATTTTTATCGCATTCTTTACTTTCCCAAGAAATGAGAAGTCTGTTTTGAAATAGGCTAGAATAATCATTAAGACGAAAATAGTTTTAAGTTTCTGGAAACTTATAACGTACCAAAAAAAAGTACCAAATTGGTAAGTTGGTAATTGCAGTATACTGAACCTTCTACATGCGTCGGCCGGAGAGTGTTTTTTCCAACCCTGAAACCTGACTGTTAAATTTTACGCCAATATTCGTGATTGTATCCGTGTTCTCTCACTTTATGTTGGTATTAAAAGTCATTTGAAGGGATTTCTTTTAAAAACTTTAGAATTGATTAAAATGTGCTTTCTAGTAAATTAAATTTCCAATTGCAATAAGTCGGGTCATTGTTGATCATGAACTAAATCTGAAATAGTGCCATGCTCTATCACGTCGTAAGCAAATGCTAAACCTAAAGTGTTATTTGGGCAATATACTATATGAAGCAAAGACCTGTAATATTGTACATTGGTATTTCCTGCAACCCACGCATTTCATAGCTGTCGTTTGTTTTTGTTTTTGAGACTGACATTGCTTTTGGAACAAAAGTTCTCTAGGATAATATGTCTCCAACTACGGTAACAAGAAACATTTCTTTTTCCTTGCAAACTGTTATATTTCAACTCACAAAACTCTATTTGAAGACGCCTGGAATATCCTCACTAATATGTCGCAACATGAGTCAGAAAGTTTGTTTGCGCGGATGAAGATATATTGCTTAAAGTGACTCAACTGATACGTTCATAGTCCCGTACGTGTGGTGTACGTTTTTAACAAGGGGCGGTGATCTTCCCCTGATGAAAGGCGAGATCCGGTTTCGACCTACACGACAAGGAGCGTATTGAAAATTGCATGGTCAAAACGGAAGAGGAGAGCTGACGGCCAGGATGTCACCACGTAAAATAAGGCGTCACCGGGAAAGGTGGCTCAGGGAATCATCTGATGTCACTGCAGTGCCTCTGACCGGAAGGTCCTAGGTTCGAGTTGCGACAGTGGCAGGATTTTCGACATTAGCTATTTAAGTAGGTTGAATTCAGGTGCAGTCTGGAAGAGAATTCGAGCAGCCGGCTGCTCCGATCTGTAGTTTTACGTGCTTTCTCTTATCAACACCAGGCGAATGCCGGAGCAGTACCATAACAAACGGGCCACGGACCTCACGCGATCTTTCTGTCCTCTTCCTTGTCTTATCCTCACCTGTTACTTACACACACACGTACACTTGCATGCACCACACTGCCATACATGTCGAGAGACCGGTTGGAAGCTAGGAGTAGGGCGGTGCCCCGGTGGTGGGAGATATCTGGATGGGGGAAACCCCGCTATCCGACGATAGGTCGGCGCCGGGTCTAGCCATCCTGCGGGAAATTTCATCGTCTCCCCCATGAGGAAAACACATGCACTACACGTACGGGAATAATGGCCTTAGCCGTGCACGCGTTCGCAATCACCAGCCGATCAGTAAATGCTGCTCCCCTGTCTACGAGCTGTCTACTACCTCCACCTGGGCCCAGTGTGTGTTGGCGTTCCGCTGGCTGCCGCCTGCTGTCGACTGTTTTCCCGTTCCCGCATTTAATTCGCCGGCCCGACCTTGGCGCTCCGGCCGCGGTTGTGTCTGTGCTCGCTACAGGCAGCCAGCGAGCGTTGAGGCGCGGGCGGTGCTGGGCGGTCCGGCGCGGAGCTGCTCTGTTCCGAGGCAGCCGCTCGCCGCAGAAACGCCTGGCTGCCGCAGCACGCCCTCTGCGAACTTGCGAGAACGGCAGGTGTATTCTTTGTTCCGGCCGATGGTTGAAGATTTTTTGACAGGTCCCTAGACCGCATTGCTCTGTGAAATGTATTCTTCTGCTAGTCAGATGGCCCGGGCGCCAGGTGATGTTTATTTCCGTGCGTGCAATCAGAATCTGTGATTCGCGTTGTTCCGATACTGTTACTGAAAATAAAATGGTAAGATATTTTACAAATAATATGAATGTGTGTGCGTGTGAATCAATTAAGTCTCCAAAGGGATATAAATGTACACAGCATAAACACGATATTTCAAAGATGTTAGATTGTTTACTTTCGTTATAGAGTAAGGAAGATATACATCATTTCTCTACGGTTTCATCACTCATTTAATTAAAATCGCACTTAGCTAGATTTTAATTAAAGAATTAAGCTTGGGGACCCCGCCTTAGGGATTACTGGGTGCGATCGCCTAAGAGTTTACAGTCCCGTAACAGAAACTGTGACTATTCTTTCTCCATGGCCGTGGTCCTGGGTTCCTTTACGGACGATGACAACTCAAGCTATACAGCGGAGATAAATCGAAAAACAGATTGATAGCGATTTTCGACACCAGCGGTGTAACTGATTTAAAGCCAACCACTAGTTGAGAATTCTAGAGGCTTGCTGCTCTGATCGGTGTTTTGCATCGCATAAATTCCGATGCATCGCATAAATTCCAATGTATTTTTTTGTCAAAGTACTTTGTTGTTCGATTTCGCGGCGTTTTGTTTTGGATTTCCGATATCGTAACGTAAGAAGATTCATTCTATGGTGAAAGTTAAAGAGGAGAGGCCCGACACTCACATGTAACGTACTTAGAAATTAAACATTTACATATAATTAGACGATAAATTTATAATCAGCCAAACATATTTTCGCAGCTGGTGGGCAAGCAATTTCATTCCGCCTGCCATTATTTGCATTTTAGGAAATTGGTAATTATTAATACACAGTAAATTTTGATAATTTCTCTACCAAGGTGCGCGTTTGCTCAGGGTTCAGATGTGTTCTGTGCTTTATGGTGTAGTTTTATTATGAGACTCAGCAACGTCTTTACTGCCGCATGTAAATTTCTCCCCAGATACGACCCCGTTTTGTTTTTAAATGCAGGGACTAGATTAAACATCCACACCAGGGCGTAGCCGTGTGTTTATGTTGTGGAAGAATAAAGCGTTCGTTATTTGTATGCTCATTACTATTGTTAGCATTTAAATGAAAATCTCGTCCTTGTTTCGTGCTCGACTTTTCTGCGATCGTTCAGTGTCAAGGGCCGGACAGGGAGGCTGCGTTTGTGTACCATGAATGGTAGTGTGTGGCGTGTTTTGAATAAAAGTTCACGGAGGAGAAAGTTGTGGAGAGGGAGTGTCTATATTTGGTGCACAAACGAGGTTGTGTGTTTTATCAACAGTACGTCTTGAAGGAATGTTAGGAGATTCAGGACCACAATTTTGAAAGTAGATTTTCGGTGAGCCATGTTACACTAATAGTTTTCGCTGCAGCATACTATTAAGAGTGAGTTATACCAGTGGTTCTCAAAAGTTTGGTATATGAATCCCTGAAAATCATAAAAATAGCGGTGCCTTAGTTGTAAAGGAAGGTACAGCGCTTTTTGGTTTTGGTTTTCTATCAACATATGGACATGTAGCCAACAATATTAATTAAAATGTCTTCGAACAATTGAGTTTCCTTAGCACTGTTATAAAATAATTCTCAGAAACAATATTATTTACTTACTATTAGAATTAAATTTCGAATAGACTAGTATACAATCTCAGCTCATCACCTGTATGCTCGTATCCACTTGATATGTATTCAATATTAGCTCGACTCTGCCATCAGCCAGACATGGTTTGCCATCACCACTTCTATTTCTTCTTCTTCTTCTTCTTCTTCTTCTTCTTCTTCATCATCATCTTCATCATCATCATCATCATCATCGTTATAAACCACCTAACTATTGTAATCGTTTTTCACACAACACGAAAAGATAATTTAATTCCTTTTGTATTTCCTCCGATCATTTAATAGTTTTCAAATCACGTGAATTTAGAAAACTTAAAAGTAACACTCAAACTATCAAAACACATCAAAATCTCAAAACGATCGTTTATTCTCTCTCTTCTTTTAACTATAAAACCGCTGTATGCCTCAAACTTTGATAATGTGATAAAAATTTCGAGATTCTTCAACTTGCGTCTTTCATGCACATCTGTTTTAAATTTTGTTTTTCAAGTGCAACCTCCTAGTGGTTTTTGAAATATTAAAACATGATCTTGAAACAAAGAGCTGCAATGGATCCTTGGAAAGTTGGACATGAAATCCAGCCCTGTATGTAGGAGGGGAAAGTAATGGTGAAGGTGGGAGTTCCCGAATTCGGTGGGCGGACGGGAATCTCCGGGGTTTTATCGCCTTCGTTTAATTTCTCCTTTTCATGTTTTCCAGCACCTTCTCTCCCACGTGTTGCGCGTCGAAATGTTTTATCATCATTGAATGTAACTTTTTATCGCGTTGTTTGTTACTTCCAGGGGAAAGGTGTGTCTTGGGTGTCTGGTCCCTGGTGTCTCATTCCAGATTCAAAGTGGCTCAGATGAAAGAATTGTAGTTATCATTGTCCACAGATTTTTATTGGTGGTAGGACAACTTGTATGGTAACAGTCGCTCGAACATTTGGTAAAATCAGTGCCAACTGTTCGCAAAACATGGATTCAAAGTTGTAGGTAAAAAATGTGTTTGGTTCGAGACTTACCTTTAGTATATTTCGTCAAACTATTTCAATAAGATTTTTGGCAAGGCTTGATTTGTGTCGTCTATTTTTATACCAAGTTACTGAAAAAAATGTTAGTAATAGGTACAATGAATATTTTCCTTTCGAGTGCACTTGTCGTCGTGTGGAGTATTCTTTTCTTCACGTGTACGATTTATTTACTTTCTCTTCGTAGATATAGCTTACGCGTTGTGATACAACTCATCATACTTTCAGTATTCTTTAACAGATGTGTTACCTAGGCCTAAATCCGTATACACAACCTACTAAGTATGTAAATTCAATGAGCATTGTGCAATTAATTTTGCGTGACGTATCAGACAACCGGAGATTCAATGGTAAACATGTTTTCAAGACAAAGAATATTCGTGTGAATGCGAACGTTGTATGTGTGACAACGTGAGAGGTGAGTCAGTGTTCAAGGAAATCATGTCGAAGTTAATGTTAAATCTTTTCCTGTTTGCAAGCTCCACCTCGTGTGAATGAGAGCAAGAACTTGCACATCGATTCAATCTGTTTTAATCGATCTTCGTTTGTAACGATATGAGTTCTTCTTGTATACTGTCGTGAAGTATGAACTGGTAATATCGCTAGTAGCTTCCATCTGAAGAAAAAGGACATAATGATATTCTGGTTTGCTGAAACCTGTTTAGCCAGTCTAAGCAAAAGATCCTGAAGCAGAAATGTGATACTTCGCGTTTCCGCAGGAGATAAAATGTTAACATAAAGACAAGAAATCGTGGCTGCTACACGGATTATAAGCAGTTGTCTCGCATATGTGAGTGTAGGTAAGTGATAATGGTGGAAGACTCAAAATAAAACTGCGCTTTTCTTATCACGTCGTACATGTGTATAGTAATTGTAATAATAGGTGAAACGCATTTGCAACCCGTGTACTCCTGGTTGCCCTAGCAGGCCCTAGCCAATACCTATTAATATTAGTACCAAATCTAGTGTGTATTGCCACTTTGGTCAGTCTTGCTTAGTTAATAGAGGATCGGCCCATTGTTAGGTGAGGTAGTGGTGAGAGGAACAGGATCACACGCGGGCCTTGGCTCGTTTCTTTGACGTTCTGTTCGGTCGACCGACTGAAATTGATCGCAGAGCGTATCTCGGAATCTCCCGATCGCTGCAGCCGAAATATAGAATTCTTATAGGTATTGTGGTGAGTTTTCCTTGGCATTTCCAATGAATTAATTATATGCGTCGTCATTACATTTCCATGCTTTCTGTTTCAAATTTTACGTGTTCTAATTCAATTTCATTCTCTTTCATTTAGTATTAAATAACTCAACCCTCCTTTTCTTTCTTTCAGTTCTTAGAATGTTAAATATATTTTCTAAAAATTGTAAATTATTATTAATCTTTTATTATAATTTTGTTGTCAAATCAAAAAAATGTTCACGTTTTAATGTTTTTGTTTTTCGTCTTGTACTAGAAAACTGATGATGATGGCTAAACCATCGAAAGCTGCTTATTTAATAAACAATATTGTTGGCAATGACGACGCATATAATTATTTCATAGAATTCTGATCCAGCCGTGGTCAGGTCGCCCTAGCTATTTAGTTCGTGTCACCACAATCCAACTTCAAACCACGACCATTTAGATTGGATAGTTGTTAGTGTTTCCGGGCGCGTCAACTACTGAGGTCATTAGTCCAGTAAGGGTGGTGCATGTTTATTTCCTTCAGGAGGTGGCGGTGATCTTCCCCCGCTGGATGGCGAGATCCGGCGCCGACCTACCGTCCACTAGCGGGGTTTTCCCCAACCAGGTATCTCCTACCTGCGGCGCACCGCTCCAGCCGGGACAAGCTGTAACCGATCGGTCTCCCAGCATGTGTGGTATTGTAGTGCATGTTAGTGTGTGTGTGTGTAAGGTAGAGGATGGGACAAGGACCGGGCGCGGTGCGCGCCGTTTTGTTAGGGTACCGCTCCGGCATTCGTCTGATGTTCACAGGAGAAACGACGTAATGCTACCGATCAGAGCAGCCGGCCTCTGGAGTTCTCCTCCAGACAGCGACTGATTTTGATCTAGCTGACAAGCTAGTGTCGAAAATTTTTGCCACTCTCAGAACTCGAATCTAGGACCTTCCGGTCAGAGGCACTGCAATGACATCAGTTGATGCACTGAGCCACCTCTCCCGGTAGGAGCATTTAGAATGCGAATCTGCTGTACCTGAGACGCAACTGCATACGCTACCACATCCCGTGCTTGTCACGGTCGTATTCTTGGTCTCTCTGTACATCCCGAGCAGAGTGTGACAACTTTTTTTTGTCTCGCGGTCGAATTTCAAATGAGGTAATTAGCGTGAAGAGCACGCGTCGGGGCCCGCCCCCTCGGGAAGAAAGCAGCGCCGAGTGTGTTGCGTATGCATGCGGCGGCAGAGGCTGGCACGACCTGCCGGCCTTGCTGCGTGCTCCTCAAGTGCACAGAATCACAGCGGCTGTTGGCACGGGGCGCCTAACGGCATATCCACGTGGAGGCGGAGGAGGCGGACGAGATGGCGGGGAGGTGGATGTAGAAATGGAGGAGGAGGAGGAATTAGAACTGGAGGAAGAGGTGGAGGGCAATGTAGAAGTGGACGAGGACAAGATGGAGGTGGAAGTGGGAGGGGATGTGGAGACTGAGGTGAATGTGGATGAGAAGGAGGAGGTGGAGGGCAACGTGGAAGTGGAGGGGAAAGAAGAACTGGAGGAGATGGAAGGGAATGTGGAAGCGGAGGAGGAGGTGGTGCGGAAATTGAAAGTGAAGGAGAATGGGGAGGGCGATGTGGAATTAGAAGGCAATGTGGAATGGGAAATGAAGGAGGATGTGGAGGAGAATGTGGTTGTCGGAGAGGAATGTGGAAGAGGTGGAAGATAAGGGGGAATTGGAGGGAAAGAGAAGGGAAGAGAGGTGGTTCGTGGAAGTAGAGGGAAATGTGGAAGGGGAGGAGGAGATGGAGGAGAGGTGGATGGTGAAAAGGAAGAGAGGTGGATGATGAAGGATAGGGAAGTGGAGGTAGAAGTGGAACCGGGCGACGTGAATGGCATGAATGCACAGCGTCGTGGGTGGGGAGCAGGCGCAGTGGCTTCGGGAACTAGTGTAGCATGTAGCATCAGGGTGAAGGGCGGATGGCTGGCAAGCACGGAGACGGCTGCAAGAGCTGTGACAAGCGCTTGTCCATCGAAGGGGTGCAGAGGGAAAGCGGTGTGTGTGTGTGTGGGGGGAGGGGACAACGTCCTGTATAGTCCTTGGTCGGATGGCGGACAAGAGAGTAATGGCGACGGGCCTAGACCCTGTGCGAATGCTAAGTGTTCCAATGGATTATGCATCTCTCGTCGCGCTGTGTCCACGATGCGTGGGAGACGAACAGGGCACTGCGCTTTCGAGTTCAGGAGCAGATTCCTTCGGTGCAGCTCTGACGAAAAGGGTAATGACATTGCACACACTTTCTCTATCCTAGCTGATTTCGTTTTGTTCGGATACGCATTGGCAGGGTCTCTTCGGAAGGTCGTGGGTTTTGGAGAAAAAATGTTCTGGTTTGTTGATACCTGTTCTGTCAGTAGAAGTGAAAAATATTGAAGAGTCATTGTGACAATTTACTTTCCGCAGATGATAAATTGTTCACTTGAGACTATAACAATTCGGGGCTGCTCTACGAATAATACAGTACGTGTAATTGAATCGAAATATGGGATGTAGTAGATTATGTTGGGAGAATCGAAATAAAAGGCACGTTCGTTCCCACGTGTTAAATGGTAGGCGGCCTTCGTTGCTTAGTGCGGGTATGCTAGAGCAGTCCTGCTTCGAAGGGTCATGTGTTGGAATCGCGTCACGGACCTGAATGTTTTTTCTCTCCTCTGGATTGTGGCATGGTGGAACTCTCAGAATTAATATGTCACCTTTCAACCATATTCTTTCAATTTCTGGTCAGTCTGAGTGGTGCAGAGGCTTGATGAAGATAGACGAGTCACAGTTTATGATTGGCCAGTAGGAAGAAGTGGTAAGAAAAATCGAATAGAAAAAGCGATAAACTTTTAAGATTCCTCACTCTAATTGGGGCATTTTGTATGTTCGGTTAAACGCTATTGGTGTTAATCGGTCTTAACACGAGGTGAATAGACCTAGAAAATCCAAGCTCTCTTACAAACATTATCGAAATCGTGCAAAAAAAAAAAAAATGTGTTAAAAACATGATGTACTTTTTATTATCTCACAGTATGTTTCGTGTTTCTGTAGACGATTCGATGTCGGTATCTTAAGTCTTTGATCTTTGCGAACTCTACGTACGGAACCTCGCCCTCATAACCGGAGCCCGTCCACTGCGCTACCCGCGCTCCATTGTTCTCTTGCAGTACAGCAAGCGTCCATTATGTGCGCTTGTACACTTTGTGCGGCCTCTCCCTGTACGTCAGACCTCGTTATGGAGCACTCACTGCAGTGTTGGGCGTTACTTCGACCGACAAGCTACATTCCAGTCCGAGAACATTCTTACGGAAACATTATTGCGCCCTCTCGCGCTGGCGATTTTGTAGTGCTAAGTAAGACATTTTTAGGTTTGGGGGAGATGTAATGGAGAAGACATCCCAGGGCGTTGATCTTCAATCTGCTAAGTGGCTAAGAGCGTGTACCGACTCATGTGCATGTGTTGGCGCGGAGTGCCTCATTGTCTGCTGACGCCAAATCAAGTGAGTTGAAGTCTAGTGTATGGTCCAATATGCGTTCCGTCGAAAAGTAAAAGGTAACCGGGTGTCTGCTGGATAAAAGCCTTGCAAAGAAAGAAATTCAAGCTTATAAGATCACTTTTCTTGAATCCCCATGAATTCATTGAACATACGGCAACTGATTTCATGGGCACTTTTTTCCAGATGTCTGAGTAACAAGATCATGGGGAGCCCCCACACAACAGCTTAATTTTGGTGATGAACGCGAAATGAATTTGTATCATTTCGGCACGTTAAACGCCGGCCACGCCCCTTCTCCGAATGTTAATTGGCGGAAATTGGTGTCAAAAAGTTTGTCAGACGACTAAACGAAGTGTAGCCCGGTGGTCGGTGATTCACTTTGTTGTGCTGCGAGCGCGTGAATGGCGGAATGCCGCGGAACGTGTCCGTGGGTGACTCAGCGGCCGCGGCGGTCGTTCGGGAGCTGCCGAAGCCGCAGGAAGAAGCCCCGCCCCACCGCCGCGCCGCGCAGCGCAACCTTGTGATCCGAGAGGGAAGGAAGGGGGAAGGGGGGGGGGCCGGAGGGGGGGAAAAAGGCGGGGGAGGGGGGGGGAGAAGGGAAAGAATAGTGGAGGAGGAGAAAGAAGCTAATTCGGGTGATCGCGCGCCCCGGCTTCCTGGCATTGGTCGAGTGATGGCTCCTGGGTCAGTGCCGGCGTCCGGAGCGTCCCGCTTGACGCGGATGGGCTGCAGCGTTCTTCCGCGCACCCCGCCCAACCCCGCCATTTCCCCCCAGCTTCTCAAACCCGCCTCACCATGCCCCCCCGTCCAGGTCCAGCCCAGCGATTATAGCCCAGCCCCCCCCCACCACCCCCCCCCGCCCAGCCCCCACCGCCCCAGCCCCCCCCAGGCCCCGCCCAGCCCCCGCCCCAGCCCCCCGCGCCCCAGCCCCGCCCAGTCCCCGCCCAGAACCCCGCCCAGCCCCGCCCAGCCCCGTCCCAGCCCCGGCCCACCTCCCCCAATCCCCCGCCCTGCCCCACCCTCCCCACCAACACGCCCAGCACCCCGACCAAGCCGCCGCCCAGCCCAAGGCCGCCCAGCCCCGCATCCCCCCAGCTCCGCTCCCGCCCTGCCCCCCCCGCCCCCCTTGCCACCCGCCCGCCCGCACCAGCCGCCGACCCCAGCCACGCCCAGGCCCCGCGTCCCCTCGTCCAAGTCACTGCCGTTTTCCAGCCCCGTCCCCTGCCCCCCTCCCTGCCCCGATCTGAGCCTCGTCCAGCCCCGTCCAACCCCGCCCAGCCCCGCCCCGCCCTCTCCCACACAGCTCCGAATCACCTAGCTTCACTCATAGTTTAGCATGGCAGCCTCGCCCGCCAGCCCTGTTGCGCCTAGTCCCGCCAACCCTATCGGCCTGTCCCGTCCAGCTTTGCCAGCCTCGCCAGTACCGTTCCCACTCGCCTAACCCCAACCACACTCACTCATCCCTGCTGTGCAGCCCCGCCCCGCAGCCTCATTTAGCCCCGCTGATCCCAAGCAAGCACCGCATGTCTTCCCGCCCAACCCAAATCGGCCATCCCTGCCTAGCCCCTACCATCCAGTCCGGTCCGCCTTCTGGGATAAATAAAAATAAAATGATGAAAAAAGAAAAGAAAATCAAATCATCATTGATAAGACGATTATAATCGAACAAATACAATAATAATTGTAGCTTTATGTGGTTGTAAATAAACGCAACAATGTGCAGTAGTCATAAGTAATTTAGAGAGATGAGTGAAATTTTAATCCAGACTCATGTGATTTCATTTTATTTATAATAGTTATGATTAACAGAAGCTCCTTTAATGTAAAAGTCGGTTTTGCGTAGGATGTTGCGTCTTATTATTATTTACTCACGAAAAGTATCGGAATTGTATTGACCAGAATAGAGGAATTCCTCCATGTCACTGATATTTTGAATTAAGTAGCAGGAATGGCTGATGGTAATCAAGAATATTAAAAACATTTCTTACAGAGAACCGAAAGACAAGTCATCACATTGTTTTAATGATATTTTTAATATTACCACTAACTGATACATGGTGATCAAAAGTTTGTTTCATGAAGATATTAAGACAGGATTGCCCGCCGCTGGCACTGACCCGCTCTTCGCGGCCGCCGAACCCGCTCCAAGCGGCTGCCGAATGTGTGCAAGGTCGGTTACTGCCTCGCCCGCCGCCATTAGCGTCACTCCGCAGGAACGGGTAGGTGCTGCGCGTCGCGCTCCACGCACTTCTTCGCCGCCGCCGCATTCGTCTTCATCTTCCTCGTTGTTTTCGCGTTCGTCGCCTTCGTTGTCGTCTTTTTCATTTTCGTCTCCGTCTCCGTAGTGTTGTAAGATAGAAACGTCCCATTCCATACCGCCTCATTCATATTCGTGTTCACCTTTAGGGCCTTCTTCTTCTTCTTCTTCGTCTTCTTCTTCTTCTTCTTCTTCTTCTTCTTCTTCTGCTTCTTCTTCTTCTGCTTCTTCTTCTTCTGCTTCTTCTTCTGCTTCTTCTTCTGCTTCTTCTTCGTCTTTTTCTTCTTCTTCTTCTTCTTCTTCTTCTTCTTCTTCTTCTTCTTCTTCTGCTTCTTTTTCATCTTCTTCGTCTTCAGTCTCTTCACTTTCGTTGCCTTCATTGTCTCTTCATCTTCATCCTATCAGCGTAATCTTAATCTTAGTTTCCATAGTGTTCATCTTCGTTTCCGTACTGTTTCCTCCGTCTTCGTAGAGTTCATCTCCGTCAATGTTTATCGCCGCGCCCTTTGGTTTCATCTCCATCTACGTTGATTCCATATCCATCGTCATCTAAATTTCTGTCTACATCTTCATTGCTATCTACACCTTCACTTTCATCTAGTATATCAACACCTTCGTCCACAACCTCGCCTTCATCGTCGTCCACTTCCACGTCCTTTTTTTGCCTTCGTCTACCCCTTCTTCTTACCCTTGTCAACGTAATCACTATCGCCATCATCGCGTCTCGTCGAACAGTGAAAACGCGAGCGGTGAATCCCAAACGCGTTTTCGCCGAAGCGCGTTCACGGGTCGCTGCGGTGAATCGAGAGGTAGAGGTCACGCAGTTTAACAAGGAGCGGTTTAAATGCAAATAGCGGCGTCTGGCGAGAGAGACGTTTCGAGACTTGATTCCAAGCTCTTTTAAACACAGAGACACGGAATCCTAGTATTTGACCCGT